GGTTGGTATTTCTTTTCTCTTTTGACAGGAAAAAAAAAACTGCAACAACGCCATACTGTAACAGCGACTTATTATTATCATTATTTCTTCTTCTTTATTTTTCTTCTTGTTCTTCGTAGTTCTTCTGCTTTCACCTTAAGACGTAAATGCGTTGTGCCCAATTACAACTTGAATGCTATATTTGCGCATTTTGGCTGACACACCTAACTTCTGCTGGCATTTATTTCCCGGGTTAGCCTCCCGGGTTAGCCTCCCGGGTCCGACTGCGGATTCGAACCGGGTTCTTCTGCATAAGAGCCCAGATGTTTTAACAGTTTAGCCACACGCTCCTCTATGTACAATGGGATAAAGAGGTTAGGCGAAGTATTCACGAAGCATTAAGTGAGGGAATCCATTCTTGTGTGGCACAGCCCCTTGTGTGAATTCTTGAATTTATAGAACATCAGTACTTTAATAATATCCTACCATAGATGACGTCACAGGACAGTCCAAGTTTTAAAAGGGCGGTAAGACTGGGTTTCCCGGCTTTTTGATGATTTTAACGACCCCAAAACATCTATAACTGGCCCTAACCCCAACCCACCTACGTCCCACGAGATAGTGCAGCCTAGGTCCCACTACTGCATGTAGCCTACGTCCCACGACTGCATACAGCCTATCTACCACTCTCTGAAATATTAGACGTCCCGTGACATGTGAATTTTCCCTTTTTGGGGTAGGATATTAATAAAGCACCAGAACATCAGCCTGGTCCCCTTGGTATGCCGACGCTTTTAATTTCTACTGTAAACACATAACAAGAACGCCCCGCTGAGATTTTACGTGCCACGTTGGGAACCACTGCTAGCCAGCCTTTGTGTGCTTTCATTGATGATCACGTTGTGAGAACGTGACCGCATTGACTAGACAGTAACCTTGGTTACCATACATAAATGTCGGGTATCCAGCTATAATGATTTTTCCCCTATCTCATTTTTAGAGAGAGAGAGAGAGAGAGAGATTGCGGAGAGGAGGGAGGGGGCCGCAGAGAGAGAGAGAGGGGGGGCGTGGAGAGAGAGGGAGGCGTGGAGAGATAGAAAGAGAGAGAAAGGTAGGTAGGTGCTTTTCTGGGGGGGGGGGGGGTCGTCACGCTTAACCAGCATCCCTGAATGAGAAGCTTTAGGTTATAATTGTGTCTGGGTATCACACTTTTTTGTCGTCCCCATGTTTGATGCAATTTTTAGTTATTTTGGAGCCCTACCCTGGCTTTTGCCGGGGGCCCTAAACATACCTGGGCCTTAAATATGGCCTAACAGCTGAAAGGGGTTTCCGAGACCTCTTCACAGGCTTTCCTCATTCGCATGGTGGCACTTTGTGTCACCTAGTGTTTATCGCTTGTGTGATGTCCTGCTGGGGTAAAACTTACCTACCTACCTAGGTGTCAGAAACAAAAATTTGTCACAATTAAAACAGAAAGCCAGCCCATCAAACATATTGACCGGAAGTCTCCATGCCTTCTTTCATTGAGTGCAAAACCATTAAGGCTTTCCACATACCCTCCAGTATTTTTAGACGATTCTGAGAACTCGTATCAGCCAGAGGCCGTCCGCATTCTTTGGTCATGAGATGAGACGAGAGGCACTGGTGAACATCACAAAAACTGGAAAGATCAACGGTAGAAGAGGCGCGAGTGAACATCATCACGACTGGAAAGATCAACGGTAGAAGAGGCGCTGGGGAACATCATCATGACTGGAAAGATCAACGGTAGAAGAGGCACTGGTGAACATCATCATGACTGGAAAGATCAATGGTAGAAGAGGCACTGGTGAACATCATCATGACTGGAAAGATCAACGGTAGAAGAGGCGCTAGTGAACATCATCATGACTGGAAAGATCAACGGTAGAAGAGGCGCTAGTGAACATTATCATGACTTGAAAGATCAATGGTAGAAGAGGCACTGGTGAACATCATCATGACTGGAAAGATCAATGGTAGAAGAGGCACTGGTGAACATCATCATGACTGGAAAGATCAACGGTAGAAGAGGCGCTGGTGAACATCATCATGACTGGAAAGATCAACGGTAGAAGAGGCACTGGTGAACATCATCATGACTGGAAAGATCAATGGTAGAAGAGGCACTGGTGAACATCATCATGACTGGAAAGATCAACGGTAGAAGAGGCGCTAGTGAACATCATCATGACTGGAAAGATCAATGGTAGAAGAGGCACTGGTGAACATCATCATGACTGGAAAGATCAACGGTAGAAGAGGCGCTAGTGAACATCATCATGACTGGAAAGATCAATGGTAGAAGAGGCAAACACAGAGAGATGATGCTTCATGACTTGAAGATACATACAGAAAAATCGTCAGGGGAATCAATTTAAAACACACACTCACACACACAGGATCGAGATCTGTGACACGAGATGAGCACCACCTGGCAAGGCACATGGGGATGTTTTTGATGAAAAGATGAAAGGTTTCCAATCAATTAATTTCTAAAGAAAGTGTGCTTTTATGACACACATCATTCCCTTGTGAACATGCATTATGTATTATCTCATGCAAGTAAGCTATCCAGGAACAGTGGCTGGATTGATTATGAAAGGCACGCTGAGTGATTTGATATAAAGTGTATCACGTGACTTCATAAAAAATTTCACATGTAAAAAAAAATTGAAATATAGATTTTAATACCCGTTTTAACACTATTCAAAACAAAAGGGTTTAGATGATGTGGTTTAAAAAAAATTGCAAGTGGATTACATTTTCTCCTATCCTGCCCCTTTTTTTTTATTTATTGTTTCTTTCTTTCTCAACCTTTTGGATTTTCTCCCTTTTAAAACATATTCTACTTCTTTTGTTATCACATCGATAACGGGCTGTAGCTCGGTGTTGTGGTTTTTTGCTTTTGTCTTAGGCTTTTTAACTTTCTTGAGTGATAGATTTTTGTGTGCGTGCATGTGTGTGTGTGTGTGCGCGCGCGCGCGTCTGCATGCGCGCACGCACAGGCTTCAGCTACACATTTTACTCTGATGTTCTTTTGAAGAAGGTCTCACATACAGACGTCTGGCTTTATTCTTTCTAGATGACCAAATCACTTTATTGTCTTTTATTTTTGTGTAATCCAGGTACAGACTTGGGTAAAAGTAATGTTAGTCTCCCCAGACCCCTCCCATATACACACTAGCTCACTTCTGATTTGTAGTTCCTGAGCCCTGTAACCTTCGCACAAGGTTACGGGGGTGTTCCGCAATGCCGTTGATACCGCGTGTGGTATATTTCAGCACTCCAGTGCTTTTAACACTTAAAAAAAACAACAACAGAGAAACTGGCTCTAAAATAACCTCCCCATAGAGAGCTGCAATTTGTGTCATAAGCATTCTCTTTCTCGGAATGAAATCGTAAATGCAAGACATCACAGTAATCAAATAACAGAGCGGGAAACACCCGTAACCTTTAGGAAAGTCGACCAGCCTAAAAAAACTTGTGAATAAAAAGTAACCTACTTTGTCTGGGGAGATAAACATTAGTTTTACCCAGCCTTGTTCCAACCTTCTTTCCAATTCTGGTGTTAACAAAACAATATATCATTATCATCATCTCGTGAGGAGTCCTTTACAGAGCACTGCTCATATCATGGTCTGTCTGAAAGAATTCGTTCTCTTGCCAGCACTACCGCCTCATGCACTTTCCCACTGAGAGTGTCTGCTTTATTCTTTGTCTATCTTTGTACTGGTTGGCCCCTGCCCCTCCTTCCCAATACAATGTCCTCCACTTCTGTTCTTTCCAATCCACTATAGAACTTGATATATCCAATCATTTCAGTTTCTAAGACAAGATGCTGTTTATCAGCCATTCTTCCTTGATGTTCAGAGGATTTAGGTTGTCAATATTTTTTTTTTCTTGGCCCATAGTGTTCTGATACATTTTTTTAAGCATTTATGATGAAAAGCTCCTGTTTTCTTCTTTAATGTTTGTACGATAGTCCACGACTGAAAGAGAGACTTTTTATTTGATCATTATCATCATCATCATCATATTGTGCCCTGCCACTTGGTGTAGACACTCATGCATCTCCACAGATCACGATCCCTGGTTACCTGGAACATCTCTCTTAATGATATCCCCCTGTGCCATCATTTTAGCCCAACCAGCATCCTCTCTCTTGGTCTGCCTCTGTGCCTCTTTCCACTGATCTTTCCAGTTGTCACAATGTTCTCCAATGCCTCTCTTCTCCTTACGTGGCCAACGAATAGTGTTTGTCTCTTTCTTATTGTTGTGTATAGAGATCTACTTTCATTAGCTTCTTTCAAGCAATCGTTGTTAGTTACTCTGGCCGTCCAAGGTATTCGTAACATTCGTTTCAGAAACCACATCTCTGTTGCTTCCAAATTCTTCTTAAGTTTATTTTATTATCGTCATATTCAAATGATATATACATATTTCATTTGACCATATTTTATTATGATCATATGAAATTCTCTGTCTTCACAAATTACTGTTATTTTTCTATGTTGTTATTCTATTATATAAAGTAAATTATGGAATGGGGGGCCTGTTGTGGTGTAGACACTTGCCTGCAGATCCGAAGCTCGTGGGTTCAAGTCTTGACAGAGCCAGACTTTTCTGAAATATGATCTTGGCTTCCAGGTTCATCCAGCCATAAATGTATGCCAGGTACATAAGACAGCCGGCATAATGTCGACTACATCACCCACCAAGTGCTGATTGGTCTATAAAATATAGGTCTAGCCCTATGTGCCTGAAGGTGTGGAAAAGTGACATTTTAAATGATGTAATCAGGCTGATTATGCGTACCATTCAGTAAAAACTAAACTAATTAACTGTATAACTGAAGTATTTTACTCTTCAAAATGTCCAACCCTCAAATGAAATTTTTTTCAGTAGTAAGTAATAATGTCATTTCCTGTATTTCAGATCTGCAACAAAGCTCCCAGATTTATCTTTTCCTGACGTTTCTAGTACACCAGTAGATAAGGGCAATGTCAAGTGAGTTCAAGGACATAAGGGATTTGTTAAAGTCAAGCTTAGGACTACACTTGTGCTGATGCACATAACAATAAATTTATGTCAGCTTTTATGAGAAGCTACATAAATAAGATTCAAATACTCATCTAAGAAAAGAAAGCTTACTTAGTTCATCCTAAAAAAGTTCACAAGTATGGACAAACTTATATCATTTGTATAAAATGCTCTTTCCCATTAGTTAAGTTTCACTGGGTATAGTGCCGGGTCAATAGTTGTATAGAAAAAGAAGAAGAAGAAGAAGAAGAAAAAGAAGAAGAAGAAGTAGAAGAAAAAGAAGAAAAAGAAGAAGAAAAAGCAGCAGCAGCAGTAGCAACAGCAGCTGTTGTATAGTTAATGTAGGGTAGAAGAATGTGATATGTGGGTAAAATGTCAAATGTGATATGTGTGTAAATGTGGGTAAAACACTAAGTACGGTATGTGGGTAAAACACTAAGTATTGTATGTGGGTAAATCACTAAGTATTTTATGTGGGTAAAACACTAAGTATTGTATGTGGTTAAATCACTTAGTATTGTATGTGGGTAAAACACAAAGTATTGTATGCGGGTAAAACACTAAGTACAGTATGTGGGTAAAACACTAAGTACGTTATGTGGATAAAATGCTAAATGGGGTATGTGGGTAAAACACTAAGTATGGTATGTGGGTATATGGGTAAAACACTAGGTACGGTATGTGGGTAAAACAATAGGTACGGTATGTTGGTAAAACACTAATTATTGAATGTGGGTAAAACACTAAGTATTGTATGTGGGTAAAACACTAAGTATTGTATGTGGGTAAAACACTAAGTATTGTATTGGGGTAAAACACTAAGTACGTTATGTGGATAAAATGCTAAATGGGGTATGTGGGTAAAACACTAAGTATGGTATGTGGGTATATGGGTAAAACACTAGGTACGGTATGTGGGTAAAACAATAGGTACGGTATGTTGGTAAAACACTAATTATTGAATGTGGGTAAAACACTAAGTATTGTATGTGGGTAAAACACTAAGTATTGTATGTGGGTAAAACACTAAGTATTGTATTGGGGTAAAACACTAAGTACTGTTTTGAGGTAAAACACTAAGTACGGTATGTGGGTAAAACACTAAGTACGGTATGTTGGTAAAACACCAAGTATTATATGTGGGTAAAACACTAAGTTTTGTATGTGGGTAAAACACTAAGAACGCAATGTGGATAAAATGCTAAATGTGGTATGTGGGTAAACACAGGTGTGACTATTGAGTAAAACACCATGTATGATAATCGGGTAAAACATCATGAATGATAATTGGGTAAAACACTAAATACTGTTTTGGGGTAAAAAACTAAGTACGGTATGTGGGTAAAACACTAAGTACAGTATGTTGGTAAAACACCAAGTATTATATGTGAGTAAAACACTAAGTTTTGTATGTGGGTAAAACACTAAGAACACAATGTGGATAAAATGCTAAATGTGGTATGTGGGTAAACACAGGTGTGACTATTGAGTAAAACACCATGTATGATAATTGAGTAAAACATCAAGTATGATAATTGGGTAAAACACTATGTGTGATATCTAAGTAAAACACCATGTGTAGTATGTAAATACTGTGCATTCTCCTCTCCAGGGTTAGTGAAAGCCAAGAAGTATGACTGGAAGGACTCTAACATGGAGAAGGTCGGTTCGGCAGAGGACAGGCATGTCAAAAGTAAGTGCATTCTAAGTGTCACAGATATATCACAACGTCTAGTTTGAGAATGGATGTGGAGGCAGTCACTGCTGCCTTTCGCTGGCTTGAGAAACAACTGGACACAAATGCCACAATTGTAACCGACTCACAGAGCATGTTGAAAAAGGTGGAGACAGGCATGCTCCATGCAGAGTGGCAAGCAACACTTCAAAGTTCCCAGATAGTTAACATCCTTTGGATATTTTCTCCATGTTATGCCGGTGTGTTGGGAAATGACCAGGCAAATAGACTGGCCGGTTCTGCACCACTTGGTGGGAAACTGGTGTAAGCTGGATACTATGAGGAGTGAACAGTGCCGAGGAACAGATATATCATTACGGTCTGAGGAGAATGGCGCTGCGAGGATTTACAAGGGGATCTGGCCAATGTTCGACACTCAGGGGAAAGGTGAGATGGATATACAATCAGACAGTTACTGGTACCATTGGAATTTTAACTCTTCGCTTGCTGCTGCAGATAGGGACGGAGGCTTATTAGGGTGTCCCGAGTGCTGTGATGTTGATTCTAAATACAACATTCAACAACATTCAACATTGTCACAGATATCGAGTTGAGAATCATCTGGCACATACACATGCTTCTTGCATATGTCAGGACTGTCACAAGATAGGGCCCCACAGAGAAAAATTGTCACTTAGACACAATGAAAGCAGAGATAGTGGTAGGCCATGCAAGCGATGAGTAGATGGAATGTTCATGACTGTGAAGATCAGCATCCACGTAGCAGCATATACCAAGAATCCCACTGGATACATCTTCAAAACCTGATGTTAAAAGGACAGAAATGGTCTAAAGAATAATAATTATCAGGCACATACATAAGGGATGGCAACCTTCTTCTTCTTTGCATTCGGGTTTGTATGCTCGGATCAGACCATCAGGTTTATGGCCTCTATGAACTCGCATGTTAGCAGCAGGTCCTTCATGGTTTCCCATAGCTTGCACTGCACACTTTGCTCTTGAGGCCAGGTGTCTTTTTAAAGTTGTATGTAGAGTGGAGAAGCTGGGGTGGAGGGTGGGAGTACTACTGTCTGTGGTGTAGCTAGAGGGAGGAACTGAGGTGGAGGGTAGGAGTACAACTGTCTGTGGTGTAGCTAGAGGGAGGAACTGAGGTGGAGGGTAGGAGTACAACTGTCTGTGGTGTAGCTAGAGGGAGGAACTGAGGTGGAGGGTGGGAGTACAACTGTCTGTGGTGTAGCTAGAGGGAGGAACTGGGGTGGAGGGTGGGAGTACTACTGTCTGTGGTGTAGCTAGAGGGAGGAACTGGGGTGGAGGGTGGGAGTACTACTGTCTGTGGTGTAGCTAGAGGGAGGAACTGGGGTGGAGGGTGGGAGTACTACTGCCTGTGGTGCAGCTAGAGGGAGGAACTGGGGTGGAGGGTGGGAGTACTACTGTCTGTGGTGTAGCTAGAGGGAGGAACTGGGGTGGAGGGTGGGAGTACTACTGTCTGTGGTGTAGCTAGAGTTAGGAACTGGGGTGGAGGGTGGGAGTACTACTGTCTGTGGTGTAGCTAGAGGGAGGAACTGGGGTGGAGGGTGGGAGTACTACTGTCTGTGGTGTAGCTAGAGGGAGGAACTGGGGTGGAGGGTGGGAGTACTACTGTCTGTGGTGTAGCTAGAGGGAGGAACTGGGGTGGAGGGTGGGAGTACTACTGCCTGTGGTGCAGCTAGAGGGAGGAACTGAGGTGGAGGGTAGGAGTACAACTGTCTGTGGTGTAGCTAGAGGGAGGAACTGAGGTGGAGGGTAGGAGTACAACTGTCTGTGGTGTAGCTAGAGGGAGGAACTGAGGTGGAGGGTGGGAGTACAACTGTCTGTGGTGTAGCTAGAGGGAGGAACTGGGGTGGAGGGTGGGAGTACTACTGTCTGTGGTGTAGCTAGAGGGAGGAACTGGGGTGGAGGGTGGGAGTACTACTGTCTGTGGTGCAGCTAGAGGGAGGAGCTGGGGTGGAGGGTGGGAGTACTACTGTCTGTGGTGTAGCTAGAGGGAGAACTGAGGTGGAGGGTGGGAGTACTACTGTCTGTAGTGTAGCTAGAGGGAGGAACTGAGGTGGAGGGTGGGAGTACTACTGTCTGTGGTGTAGCTAAAGGGAGGAACTGGGGTGGAGGGTGGGAGTACAACTGTCTGTGGTGTAGCTAGAGGGAGGAGCTGGGGTGGAGGGTGGGAGTACTACTGTCTGTGGTGTAGCTAGAGGGAGGAACTGGGGTGGAGGGTGGGAGTACTACTGTCTGTGGTGTAGCTAGAGGGAGGAACTGGGGTGGAGGGTGGGAGTACTACTGTCTGTGGTGTAGCTAGAGGGAGGAACTGGGGTGGAGGGTGGGAGTACTACTGTCTGTGGTGTAGCTAGAGGGAGGAACTGGGGTGGAGGGTGGGAGTACTACTGTCTGTGGTGTAGCTAGAGGGAGGAACTGGGGTGGAGGGTGGGAGTACTACTGTCTGTGGTGTAGCTAGAGGGAGGAACTGGGGTGGAGGGTGGGAGTACTACTGCCTGTGGTGCAGCTAGAGGGAGGAACTGAGGTGGAGGGTAGGAGTACAACTGTCTGTGGTGTAGCTAGAGGGAGGAACTGAGGTGGAGGGTAGGAGTACAACTGTCTGTGGTGTAGCTAGAGGGAGGAACTGAGGTGGAGGGTGGGAGTACAACTGTCTGTGGTGTAGCTAGAGGGAGGAACTGGGGTGGAGGGTGGGAGTACTACTGTCTGTGGTGTAGCTAGAGGGAGGAACTGGGGTGGAGGGTGGGAGTACTACTGTCTGTGGTGCAGCTAGAGGGAGGAGCTGGGGTGGAGGGTGGGAGTACTACTGTCTGTGGTGTAGCTAGAGGGAGGAACTGAGGTGGAGGGTGGGAGTACTACTGTCTGTAGTGTAGCTAGAGGGAGGAACTGAGGTGGAGGGTGGGAGTACTACTGTCTGTGGTGTAGCTAGAGGGAGGAACTGGGGTGGAGGGTGGGAGTACAACTGTCTGTGGTGTAGCTAGAGGGAGGAGCTGGGGTGGAGGGTGGGAGTACTACTGTCTGTGGTGTAGCTAGAGGGAGGAACTGGGGTGGAGGGTGGGAGTACTACTGTCTGTGGTGTAGCTAGAGGGAGGAACTGAGGTGGAGGGTGGGAGTACTACTGTCTGTGGTGTAGCTAGAGGGAGGAACTGGGGTGGAGGGTGGGAGTACAACTGTCTGTGGTGCAGCTAGAGAGAGGAACTGAGGTGGAGGGTGGGAGTACTACTGTCTGTGGTGTAGCTAGAGGGAGGAGCTGGGGTGGAGGGTAGGAGTACTACTGTCTGTGGTGTAGCTAGAGGGAGGAACTGGGGTGGAGGGTGGGAGTACTACTGTCTGTGGTGTAGCTAGAGGGAGGAGCTGGGGTGGAGGGTAGGAGTACTACTGTCTGTGGTGTAGCTAGAGGGAGGAACTGGGGTGGAGGGTGGGAGTACTACTGTCTGTGGTGTAGCTAGAGAGAGGAACTGAGGTGGAGGGTGGGAGTACTACTGTCTGTGGTGTAGCTAGAGAGAGGAACTGAGGTGGAGGGTGGGAGTACTACTGTCTGTGGTGTAGCTAGAGAGAGGAACTGAGGTGGAGGGTGGGAGTACTACTGTCTGTGGTGTAGCTAGAGAGAGGAACTGGGGTGGAGGGTGGGAGTACTACTGTCTGTGGTGCAGCTAGAGGGAGGAACTGGGGTGGAGGGTGGGAGTACTACTGTCTGTGGTGCAGCTAGAGAGAGGAACTGAGGTGGAGGGTGGGAGTACTACTGTCTGTGGTGTAGCTAGAGAGAGGAACTGGGGTGGAGGGTGGGAGTACTACTGTCTGTGGTGTAGCTAGAGAGAGGAACTGGGGTGGAGGGTGGGAGTACTACTGTCTGTGGTGTAGCTAGAGAGAGGAACTGGGGTGGAGGGTGGGAGTACTACTGTCTGTGGTGTAGCTAGAGTGAAATGAAGAGCTAGTGCAGAAGTAAAAAGTAAGTAACAGACCCTTTTCCACGCCTCTCAGCCATATTGCGCTAGACCCGTATTTTATAGACCGAATGGCACTTGGTGGGTTATGTGGTTAGCATCATGCCAGCTGCCTTTACTTCCCAGGACGGTATCTTGTACCCACTCAAGGCTGGGTCAACCTGGGAGACAAGGTCATTTTTGGAAAAAAATCTGGCCACCTTCAGGAACCGAGCCTACGACCTTCCGATCCCAGCTGAGCGTTTAGCCACTAAACCACGGCAGCTCCAGTGAATGCAGAGCCTTTTGAAAATAGTATCTAAATGTTTAATGCAGGTGTCTTGAAGATTTAATGTCATCTAGTGGGGAAACTAATGGTGTCAACGCCATGGTGAAATTAGTGCATTGTGGTGTCACTAGCACAGAGGTCACACCATCATATATATGCATTCACTTTTCTAAAAATAGTTTTGGTACTATTCTTTTATTTCACCCCATCTCGAGGGCTCTGAAATTTCTTAGTGAATTCCTAGGGAGTACCCTAGCAGTATTGCTGCGTTTGACTCTGACCCAGTATACATAGATGGAGACTGTCTTTTTCAGGGCATTTTCCACCACCATCGCAAGATGGCTGTTTTCAGGGCCCGCCTAAAAATATCCCCAGTTGGCATCCTAGTCAGTAAGTTCTTGCCAGTAGAAACACTGAATGAAACCGAACTTTATGGGTCATTGAGTGAATGACACAAGGCAGTGAAGCTCTTACTAGAGATTTCTTCTTCTTCTTCTTTGCACTTGGTTTCGTATGCTCAGGTTAGACCATCAGGTGGGTTGCCTCCATGAACTCTCAAGTCAGCTGCAGGTCCATCATGAATCCCCATAACTGGCTTTTAAGGCTAGGTTTTCTTTTTGAAGTTGTATTTAGAATGGGCAGGTCTTCATAATGTGCTCAGGAGTCACAAAGGAAAACAATTTTGCTGTTTTTAATTTCTGTTTCCTCAAGCAATTTGGTTTCTTGGAGGCACATCACATTTCCACTGTTGTCCCATTTTGCACCATGATGGCAAAACCAGCTCCTTAATTTTTGTCTGCTACCTTCAATAATCCATCGGTGTAAACGTGTGTCTATTTGGGTATTGGGTAAGAGTTGTAGACATGTTCAAGGGTCTTTGCACTCAATATTACTGGTTCAGATTCTTCAGCCTTTCTGTCTATGCCAGAGATTGTTGTTGTGAATGCATAGTTAGGCTGTGGGTCTGTGTTGTTTGTCTTTAGAAAGGATGTTGCTGTTTTTGGCGCAGAACAGTTTTGAAAGACAGTGAAAGCTTTGTCTTTCAGTCAGCTTTTAGTTAGGTTATTCTGTGCATGGGGTTGCTGTTCATGCATTTAAACTTTTCTGTTCAGGTAAGCACTTTTTCTTTCCTTCGCTGGCTCAAGCTCTGGAGGCTAGAAGTAGCCTCCAGCTCATTTATTGGTGTGCTTCTCATACCTCCATCTATCACTTGCAAGGTCGACCTCTGACTCTGCTTCCACTGCATCTGTGACAGGGCTCTCTGTGGTACACTATTTAGTTGTGGTCTTTACACATGTCCAAACCATTTTAATCTTGTGTCTCTTGATGTAGTTTGATACTGGTTCTGTCCTTACTTCTTTCCTGATCAGGTAATTTATGAATATACACATTGCTCCTAAATAAGCATGTCGACTATTTAAGGGGTTTGTTAACTCTTTGAGTCCCAAGGAACGCATCATACGTTCATAGATTCCTACCTAGAGGCCCAATAAACGCATAATGCGCCGATTTAACATCTCTCTTGACTACCCCTTGGGCCTGTGATGCTAAACCCCCTGGGACTCAAAGAGTTAAAATTTTAAAGGAGCGGCTGGCTGAATGGTTAGAATGCTAGGCTCTCAAGCAGGAGACCCAGGTTCAAATCCTCAGTAAGGCTGGGGATTCGTTTTTGTTAGGAGCAAAATAAAATCCTCACCTGCACAGTCGTGGCAACAGCACTACCCATGCGGCCGTAAATCCTCAGGCTCAAAGACCCCCCTGCCTACACCAGAAAAGTGGTAAAATACAGGCAGTAACTGGTAACTGAAATTTGAAATTCTGAGTTGAATGGTGCAGATATCACCTATTAGCTGTAAACCACAACATAATATGCCAGCCACCCTTTTGTGGGAGAGTTGAGTGGAGTTGAGTTGAACCAAGAATTGACATTATAGCACTCAGTGCATTCCCATGTGTGCTCTGTCCTCATCTTCAGCAGCCAGCACAGAGTTCCAATACTGATGGTACAGGTAACAATCTGGTTATATGTCTATCTTGCCTCTCCTCTGATTGTAGTGAGCCAGCCAAACTCTCTGGTTACACCCAGTTGCCTCATTCTCTCCAGACCATAATAATCTTGTTTCTGTACTGATTCTGTTGCTTGTGCCCAAAGGGCCATGACCACATCTGCCTTGTCATGTATCAATTCACCACCCAGTGGTACAGATCCAGCCAATCTGTCTGCCTGTTCATTACCCACTAGGTCGGCATAGCCTGGAGAAAAGACCTTTAGAGGGTGAACACATAAGAAGACAGTTTCATTGCTAGACAATCATGCAAATACATTAGATTTATGTTAAGGCAAAAAATATGGCTGTCAATGTTTAAGCAAAGAAGATTGAATTACAATCATTAGAGTGACTTTAAACTTTGTTTTGGGAGCAGGGGAGCAAACTACCCTATTTATCTTTACGTTCTAGTGTCACATAAATAGAGTTGTCTTTCCTGATAAGCAAAGGGAGAATCAATTAGCGAAACTGCATAAATTACCATGACAATATTTAACTTTTTGTTTGCCACTTATCTGTGTGTTGTTTTATACAGTAGTAAAAGGGTTTCCATTGTCTCTGTTCAACAGAGGAGGCAGCACAAACTGAGCCTGCATGGAAAGGTGCTGGGAAGGAGGTTGGACTGCAGATCTGGAAGATAGTTGTATGTACAACCAATGACTTATGCTGTTAATGTCTGTGTTTGTGTGTGTGTGTTTTTTTTGGTGTGCATTGAATATTAAAACATTGTCCCCATGTGGGATGCAATTTTTCACTATTTTAAAGCCCCATCCTGATTTTTGCCAGGGGCTGGCAGGGGCTGCAATATAGCCTGATGATTAAACATGGTTTCTGATACCTCCCCACAGGTGATCCTCATTTGTATGGTGGCACTTTGTGTCACCGGGTGTTTATCTCTCTGAGTGATGTCCTATTGGGGTAAAATTTACTTACTTACTTACTGTGCATTGAATTGGTATATTTTGGCAATGAAATTTGAAAAACAAGCTTTGTGTATTGTGCTTTTCTATGGCAAAGTGGTCAAGCAGTTTGCCTCACGCTCTGAAGGTGGTGGGTTCATTTCACGACTGAGTTGTTCAGCTTACAAGTGCAGTTTTAATGGAGATCCCTAGGGATCATCGCAGGAGCTTTAGAGTCCGTGTTTTGTGTGATGCTCTCGGCAGGCAGCTAGTCATTCTGCGGAGAGAGAGACCAAGCTGTATGGGAATAAATCCGGTACAATTAAGTCTATTCTCTGAACTTTAACCTTTAACTTTAACCTCTAACCTTTAACTTTAACCTTTTACTTTAACCTTTAGCTTTACTTTATGCCCTGTAAGCCTCAAGGGGTCAGCTAATCACATTTCCAGCTTCAGAGCAAACAGGTCACCCCCATGGCTGCTTAGCTTCTTTGCCAACAAAAACCACACAGAATGGACACAGCCTGTAATCTCAGCAAAGCCAACAGCACACACATGCATCAAGTGCATAAGGCAGCCATCAAAGGGCCATCACAAACCATGCCAGCCAGACTTGAAGGTCGCTGAGCCAATGACAACAGACACAGGGAAATTCATACTAGATTCTCTAGTCACTGCCCACAAAAGCATTTTCCTCAGACCATGAGGATCTGTCGGTGTTTCTGCACTGTTCACTCACTTCAAAAAGACCCTTACAACATCTAGCTAGGCAGTCTGCCACTAGAAGTGCCGTGGGAGCAGCATTTACAACAAATCAGGAGTTGCACACACAATTAATGGCATGAGGCACTACCAGTTCTCTGGCAAAAGGCTACTTGCCATTTTCCTAATCTGCAGTTCAGAACACAGACCATGCTCAGCATAGTCGGAAAGCATTCCAGGTGAAATCCCCAGCTCACAGTGTCATGCCATGCTTCAGCTCAGTAACTGGGCAGTGAATCCATATCATCTCAGTCTAAGTATAGAGGAAAGTGCAATGGCTAACTGTTGTCAGAGGCAAAAAATAGTAAAGTAAAAAGTAAAGTTCCCTTTTCACGCCTTTTGGCGCATCGGGCATATGGGCAGAGCGTCCCATATTTTTACAGACCATCAGCACTCTGTGGGTAATGTGGTCAGCATTACGCCGGCTGTCTTTACTTTCCCAGGACAGCCCATCCTGGAACCCATTTTAGGACTAAAAACAGTAATCCCGCCTATCCACCATATTGACAAAAAGCTGTAGACATGAGTGCTTTGCCTAATTTAGTTATATTTCTTCGTTATATTTCCTATATATAATTCATACATTATATTTCACAACCCATGGTATTCCTGACAAATGCAAGATAGGTCCTTCAGGCTCTTGAATGTGGAAAATTAGCTGGTATACAGAAACTACTCTCCAAACTAGGCAGCCATTGTAAGGTAGTTATGCAATGGATACCATCCCACTGTGGAGTTCCTGGAAATGAAAGAGCTGATAAACTAGCTAGGAAGGTGAAAATGAAGCACAACCTGATGTAGCAGTCTCTTATCAACAGAAGAAGATAATAAGAAGAAGAAAAGAAGATAATAATTATCCGACTGACCTATCACTGTGTATTTATTTGTTGATGCTGTATTACCATTTTTGAACTGACTGCTATAAAATGTATAACTTTAATTTATAGCTTTAAATCCTTTAACAATTTTTGTTTGTTTCTAGAATTTCAAAGTTACAGTTCTACCCAAAAGTGAATATGGAAAATTCTTTGAAGGGGATTCGTATATAATCCTTAATGTAAGTATTTCATGCAATATGTCGAACAGTTGCTTTGAGTTCATTATTATATACTGATAATTCGATTTGTTTCATTTTCACTGCAAACTTTTTAGGTAACATATTTGTCAGTATATAAGAAGCTCCCTTGTATAAGACACACCCCAAAAATTGAAAGAAACTTTTACAGAAAAACTTAGTTTTAAAGAAAAAATGTAACTAATGTAAACAAATATTTCCCTGATCTTTCATTCACTCCCATAGCTGTCATCAGAAGTTTTTCTTCATTGTATCCATTGTATCCATTGTATCCATTGTATCCATTGTATTAATTGAATCGCCATCAGAACAGAAATCTTCATCGTCAGAGAGTCCCAGAGAAAATTATTCTCACTTCCATCTATCGCATTGCTGACACCACAATCAGATCATTTTCCAGTGGATCCCAGCTCACTGCGGCATACTAGGAAATGAGATAGCAGAGAGACTTGCTTAAAGTGGAGCAAAGGAGAAACAATGCATCCATCCATTGTTGTTACTAGAAATAATAACACTTATCAAGGGAGAATACAAGGAATTGTGGAGAGAACAAACCAACAGTAAACATCCTCAAGATTCCATCAGCGGACTCAACAGAAAGCAACAACAACAATTTTCCAACTAAGAACAGGACACTGCAGGCTCAACTACCACATGCATAAAATAAATTTTGTACAGTCCCCACAGTGTGCATTTTCAAACAGGACCACAAACACCTGAGCACATTCTGTAGACGTGCCCACTCTACATACAACTTCGAAAAGACACCAGGCCTCAAGAGCAAAGTGTGCAGCACAAGTTATAGGGAATGATGAAGGACCTGTAACTGACATGTGAGTTCATAGAGGCAACCCACCTGATGGTCTGATCTGAGCATTCAAAAAAGAACTCAAAGAAGAAAACTATATTCACAGAGAAAATTATTCTCACTTCCATCTATGGTGTTGCAGATACCACACTTCAGAAAAGTATTCACATCAGCATTCTCACTAACCTTGGACCAGAATATTTTGACACATTCACAAATTTGAGTGAGTGTAAGCAAGATAATATATCCATTTTTATAAGGAAGTGCCATTGGAACTACATCGACCATACACTAATAATGGATAAGGTCAGACATTCCTATCAAGCCGTTATATGGACACCTGTAAGGAAAAGAAAATGGAAAGACCAAAAGAGAGAAGCGTAGAAAAGGGTAGAACCATCATCAGGGAAGGCTCAACCATGGGCCTAATGAATAATTACTCAAGAGGATTGATGTCTCAGGTTTGAACAAAAGATCAACATCATGGCACACAAGCATAAGTGCTCAATTCTTCTTCTAACTCAAGTCTCAGTCCAAACAAGCTCAGCATAGGGCACAGGCTCTGCAGTACTTTGGGTCAATTTGTAACTCAAAATTGTGCAAGGGCAGTGATGTTAGGTTACTGTTTTCAATTTCAAACTGCCAAGGGATGTTTTATGTGCGCAACAATGCACACAGGTGGCTGATCTCACTACCCAGAGACCAGGGAGAATTACTAGAACTCCAAGTCCACATGACAAAATCCCAGCCCTTACCGGAGATTGAACCCGGAACCATTAGCACTTGAGGCGGACACCATGCCTCAAAACCATGCAGCCCCTACACATAGAACCATCATCAGGAAAGGCTCAACCATGGGCTTAATGAACATTCACTCAAGAGGAAAGACTACTAACTCAGCAGGTCTGTCTTCATTGTCTAAGCTGCAGTCTTATTTTAAGGCCTGTTTTGAGAACCCCCAAAAATGTGTCGTATACATGGAAAAACATGGTAATTAGATTTCTTGTTTCATTGCTTGTCATTATAGTTTTTTATAACTTAACACACACACACAAAAATGAGTTTCCTGCCATCATTTTGTATATCACACTTATAATACTAGACCCAGATATTTTTTAAAAATGTATTGTGTGAACAGTTTCATATCCACTGACTGGAATATAGTGCTGGATTTAAGTGCAAGCAAAATAAATTACAGCTCAAGACCTCGCAATATGTAGGGGCCTTAATAAAAATTCCTTTTTTTTTTTCACAGATGAAATTTTCTTTCAATATTCTTTTAATGTAATTTTCCTAATATATATATATATATATATATAAACAACTCCATAGCTTTCATGTATGTCTTCACTAGTTTAGAGGATTGTATAATTTCTGTGATTTTCTGCATCTATTTTTGTTATTTTTGCTTTTAAATAACTAAACAACAATTTATTTCCAATATCTGTATGTTTTAAAGGTGTATATATTTTACAGTTTTCTGATATTAGCTACTGTAGTTTAAAACATAGGGACTTCAGGGCTTTATATAACTTAGCTAGTTGGGTATCCTTTACAGGACATTGTAGAACTAAGTCCAGCATTTATTGGCTGTTGTGGTTTTTCTAGACAAATTTACGTCCATTCTGTGTGAAATCTTCAGCAGACAGCAGACCCGTGAATTAAGTTGAGTTATGTTAAGAACTAACATACCATCACTCAGGGCATTACCATAAGTGCTCCATACCCATTTTCAGCAGTTTATGTCTGTCATTCCATTTGTCATCTACATTATCCTCCCAGATGTTTACCTGTACTCTGGTTTACTGTTTCAAATCCTGGCAAGTTTTCTTTTCTGATGTTGCATTTTTCTCCAAACTTAGGCTGAAAAAAATTTAGTTTTATCACCCAGCTACTAAGTTTAGAGTATGTCTTGACACTGTGAGCTGCAGATTTTATTTAATATGCATTTTGACTGTGCCATACATGGTTTGCGCCGTGAACTGCAGATTCAGAAAATGGCAAGTGGTATATTGCCAGAGAACTGATTGTGTTAATAAAGGACCCTTTTCTACGCCTTAAAGGCGTATTGGGTATTTAGGGCTAGACCTATATTTTATACACCAATAGCACTAGATGGGTGATATGGTCAGCATCATGCTGGCCACCTTTACTTCCTAGGACTGGAGTACTCACTCTAGCTGGGTCGACCTGGGAACCAAGGCCATTTTTGAGAAAAGTATGGCTCTACCAGGAAGTGAACCCATGATGTTCCAATCTGCAGGTGAGCATCTAGCGGCTACACCACGTCGACTCTAAAGAACTAATTGTACCTTATGCAATTTAATGCTTGTGCACCTATTGATATTTTGATGCTTCCATTGATATGGAACTGCATTTCTAGTGTCAGACTGCTTTTGTCAGACTTCTGTCTGCTGCTGAATGCATGTAATGCACTGGACGGAAAAGTTAAATGTAGGCAAAGAAGAGGATAGACAATGATACAAATGGGAGGACTGTAAAGAGAATGATGGTCAGAAGTATGGTGATGTGTACGGCTAGTGTTGGATTTTTTACTGGGTCAGCCTGGGAGTCTACATCATTTTTGACAAAAATTGTACTCAACGGGGAATCAAACCCAAGACTTAGTGATTTTCTGCATTAAATCAATTTTAAGTGCTGGGAACTGCAAGCTATTAGTTCTCTCTGTTTTAGTTAACACTTTTGTAAAGTATAAAGCATGTTCATCAATGCCATATGTCTATCATTGAAGTTATTTCATTTTTTTCCTTTCAAGATTTTTTAAAATTCATTTCAAATTTTGCTTATACATGTAACTTTGTTCTTGACCTAAATAAAAACCAAGCTAGACGTTCTGTGATGCAGAAGAGGCTGTAAGTCGACAAATAAAAATGTGGATGGGATGTATTTTTGTGTGCTTAACTTGTACAAAGTTGTTTGGAAATCTGCATTACACATTTATGTTAGCTTTCCCTGCAACTATGGCCAGTTTTGGATATCTGCATTACACATTCATGTTAGCTTTTCCTGCAACTATAGACAGTTTTGGATATCTGCATTACACATTCATGTTAGCTTTCCCTGCTACTATGGCCAGTTTTGGATATCTGCATTACACATTCATGTTAGCTTTTCCTACAAATATGGCCACTGAAAGAAGTACTGCAATGGGGAGGTAGTCGTAGTAGTAAATTTTACAATATCCTATTCAACCAATCTGTGGATATATATAGTTTTTTATTTCACTTTTGGATACATATCTTTTCAATTAAATTTGATTAATTAATCTTGTGAATATAATGTATTAATTGTAACAGATTGTAACATTGCTAAGTTTAATTGAATGGACAAGAAAGAATTTGCCCTAAACTATTTTTATAAGGAAACAATAATTGCCTCTTGGTAGTAATTAAACATTTTATGTCATTTAAATAGTGATAACATGTGGATGATAAGTCCTTTTCCATAATGGGAACCACAAGCTAGTAAAAAAGAAAAAATATTTCAAGGTTTTCAAATATCAGTAAGGAAACCCCCCCCGTGTGGGTTCCGGGGCCCTATTGTGGGGAAAACAAGAATAGACCCACTGCCTCCCCAAAAGCATGTCGTAAGAGTCGACTAACTGGGGAGCTTCCTTTGAAGTCGGAGTGCATCTGCCTGAGAGGCAAGGAACCAGCAGTCTACATTCAATTGAATCAGATCTGTAAAACTGATGCACACGCAACACTCAGGTTCTGGAGCAGGACTGCAGTCCAGAAGTGGACGAACAACCAGAACTTTACGCCAGAGTGTACAGCTGGTGAATGCGAAGAAGAAGAAGTAAGGAAACATGAGCTACTATGGACATAAACTGATGTTGTGTCCACACTGTTCAAGAATTTGGTTTGTAACATCAAGGACTATATTCAAGCAAACACATGGGCACTACACTGATAAACAGCTATCTTTTGTTGTCTTTTACTCTTTTTCTTTCAACTTCCACTTCTGACTTTTATACAGTTTGTGCATGTGTGTGTGTGTGCATGCGTGCGTGCATGTGTGTGTGTGTGTTTTGTGTGTGTTGTGTGTGGGGGTGGGTGGGTGGGTGCATGCGTGCATGCGCGTCTGACAAATTTTGCAAGAATGTCATTTTATTACAATTAATTTCACCAGAATGTTGTTGTCAGCACCGAAAAAGCAATTCACTATTTTTGCAGCTTTTGCTTTTATTGCCACAAGAGCAATGACAAATGTCACTGTGTTTTTTTTGTTTTGTTTCAACCAAGTATTATACACAGAAAGAAGCCTTTTTTCTCAATTTATAAACCTCTTCAGATTCACTTCTCAACATCTGCCCATGTAGCAGTTTTAAATCATTACCAGAAATTGTTCTTGGAAGTTATGTTATGTTATCGTAATTTATGTCACTACACACTGGGCATTCCCATATGTGCTCCATCCTCAGATGCAGCAGCCACTCCAAGGAACTTCTACTAATTGTTCTCATCAGAAGTTGGTTATAATGTCTCCTGTCTCTGTCTCAGTGACGACATAGACTTGCTTCACCATGCTTTACTCTCATGTCATGCAATCATGTTAGTGTCAGAGATTAGTCATTATCCACTAGCCCAGTCTGTTCAGCGTCAATGATATCTGCTCTGTCTATGCTTCTTCCCACATGCGTTGGTGCATTGCTTACTCATTATCTTTATGCCCCCATGACCCGGTGTGTAGACCCAGGTGAGGGAGGTTAAGTGCAATTTTCGAATGCTTTCTACCCATTCGGAACACATACTGCCTACTGCATGTTCATGAAGTCTGATTCAATTGCTGCCTGTATGGCAGTTTGCTTGGATACCCATGCTAGTGCTCTAGAAGCTGCAGCTATCTCCTTGGTCATGCTTTATGTGGTTGCCTGATAAGCGTCACTGTCCTGAGAAGTAAACCTAACTGGTATGATAGTGACCACATAGCCCACTGAGTGAGTGCCAGCTGGTTCATAAAAATGCAAGGCTTGCACCAGGAGACTAGTTTGCCTTAACAATGTTACCTCAAGAATGCTAAATCTGGTCACTTCTGATTGTAACAGCCCTGTCTTCTTCTTTTGTGATCTCACTGATATCTGCTTGTAGCACAGTGTCATGGTTCTGTCGTCTCACTGATACCAGCTTGTAGCACATTGTCATGGTTCTGTCGTCTCACTGATACCAGCACAGTGTTGTGGTTTTGTCATCTCACTGATACCAGGTTGTAGCCCAGTGTTGTGGTTTTGTCGTCTCACTGATACCAGCTTGTAGCCCAGTGTTGTGGTTTTGTCGTCTCACTGATACCAGCTTGTAGCCCAGTGTTGTGGTTTTGTCGTCTCACTGATACCAGGTTGTAGCCCAGTGTCGTGGTTTTGTCATCTCACTGATACCAGGCTGTAGCCCAGTGTTGTGGTTTTGTCGTCTCACTGATACCAGCTTGTAGCCCAGTGTTGTGGTTTTGTCGTCTCACTGATACCAGGTTGTAGCCCAGTGTTGTGGTTTTGTCGTCTCACTGATACCAGCTTGTAGCTCAGTGTCGTGGTTTTGTCGTCTCACTGATACCAGGTTGTAGCCCAGTGTTGTGGTTTTGTCGTCTCACTGATACCAGCTTGTAGCTCAGTGTCGTGGTTTTGTCGTCTCACTGATACCAGCTTGTAGCTCAGTGTCGTGGTTTTGTCGTCTCACTGATACCAGGTTGTAGCCCAGTGTTGTGGTTTTGTCGTCTCACTGATACCAGCTTGTAGCCCATTATTGCAGCTTTCTGTGTATCTTCTGCTTCTCCTATGGCTTGGGTGATGAATTTGTTCATCTTTGTTGCTGGTTTCAGCAACACCATTTATCAATATCTTTCCTAATCTTTCTCTTATCTTCCTCACAGGTGTTCTGCTGTAAAAAGTCTCATATGCAGTTTGGTCTGGCTGCAGTCTCATTAGATGGCTGAACCATTTCATTCTTTGTCTGTGAATATAATCCAGACATGGTCTTATTCCAACTTCCTTGTTAATGCTAGTTTACGTACCCCTTTCTCTTCATGTGTTGTTAGTGAGCTTGCGGAGACAGCATATTTCACATGTTGTTATTTTCTGTTCTAGTGCTTTATTCATTGTCCACGTTTGGTACTGGTAACATAAAGTAGGGATAAAGAAGCTAATTCCTCTTATACTTCTATATTTCTTGTATAGGCGAGTGTGTCTCACTTTGTTATTTAACTCAGATAATAGTGTTTGTGACTTGAGCAGGCATTTATGTCAAGTTTACCTCCATGGTGGATGAATCAGTAGATGGCTAAAATGCATGCATATGTGCATGGAGGCTTAGATAAAAGGGATGAAAAGACAGTTAATCCTTTCACAGCTGGAACGAACTGCATTCACCAGAATCAAGCTAACAGTTTACCCCCTTTGTCTACGCCATAATCAGTTCATTTCCTAAACTTATTTTCACAAATTCATTATTCTCCGCTGCATCACTCTCACCAGAATGTGATGATCCATTTGGTCCTCTGATTTGTGCATGTTCTTCAACATAGTCCTAACCACTTATCATGCAACAAACAGTATGCCCATGTGCTTCTCGTTCAGAACAAAATAGACCAGTCAGCATTCAGTGAATGTTGTGGTCAACATTATGCTGGACAGATGTGGTCAAGATTACGCTGGCAACCTTTTGCCTCCCATGACTTTATCTGGTACCCACTTAAGGTTTTATCAACCTGGGAGTAGGTGTCATTTTTGTGGGGAAAAAAATCAGGGTTGATGTAAATTTGAACCTCCAACCTTTGATCCACAGGTGAATGTTTAGCCACTACACCACAGTATTTGCCTGATAGTAGTATGTGAACAGTTTAAATAACTAGCAGCAAAAGAATAATGTAAGCAACAGCATCCTAAACATTATTCAGTCACAGAGAGGGTTACAGAGTAATGATCACCAACACCTTCTAGGGACAATGCACCTAAAAGGAGAAGAAAAGAAATGAGCAGGCAGATAGACTGGCTGGCTCTGCACACCTTGGTGGTGAGTTTGATAAATGGCAAGCTAGATGTTGTGAAGGCCCTTCGGCCTTCGGGAGCAAGTGAACAGTGAGGAGGCACAGATCATTAGGTTCTGATGAGAATGGCACTGTGAGGAGTTACCAGGGGATCTCGCAGATGCTCAACACTCAGGGAAAGGTTGAGACAGATATACAATTAGATAGTTACTTGCACCATCTAAGTTATAACTCATAATTTGCTGCTGAAGATGGGTACGGAGCGCTTATGGGAGTGTCCCGAGTGCCGTAATGTCAAATTTTAATTCAAGGAGAACTTTTCGTTCGGTTCTATATCTTTCAAGGAGAAGAATAAGTGTTAAATTCACATACATTTTTGTGTTTTAAAATTGTAGATTGATACAGTTTTATATATTCTTATTCTCAGACCTACAGGGAGCAGGGAGGAGACCAACTGTTGTATGATATTCATTTCTGGATAGGAAAATGCAGCACACAGGTCAGTATGTCAAGTAGTCAGTCTCTATGATGATGACAGCAATGTTGATCATGCTGACAAAAAAGGATTACATTAATTACAAGTGAGTCGAATGAGAAAGGGAGGCTGTCTCAGAGAAATCCTAGAATGAGCCTTGATGGGACAGGCCTAAGGTGCTGGACTGGATCCCATGCATTCTCTCAGTGTACTCACTGATTCAGTGAGTGTGATCCGGAGGGTACAGGCAGGGTCAGTGCGAAGGCAATGGCTTGAGTCATTGCAGAAGTCCTCTGTGTGTAAAGTCACCTTTATTTTCATGCTGGGACATGGGCATCGATGGGAATGAAAGAGCTGATAAGTTGGCTGGGTCCACTATCACTACCAATGGTCAAACTATGGATTATGCTGAAATTATTAATTATATGACTCACTGACTAACTAACTCACTCACTCAGTAGGTTTTCAGACACTTTAAACTACAGTTTTCTTTCTTTGTGGCTGTCAGTCAGTTACTGACTATACCCCTTCTTATTGAGTGTTAAGAAGTGTTTTCCCCTGGAGCCACAATGTCTGGAGCTTCCACCATGTAGGTAAAGAAGGACAAAGCTTGCCTAGTTATGGGATATTTCTGACACCTCCTGCTTCCTCGGGTGAACTGGCATGTAATTATATGTAATATTAGACAAAGACTCATTTCTTTGCCTGGGTTAGAGAATTGTAAACAATGTTTAATACCACATGGTTTTAACATTTGGGCTTAGTGCATAGTAAATATAATTCTTAGTTTCTTTATAAAACAAATAGATTATTAAACATACTTGATTCTGAAATCAGGTGATTGCCATGTAGTCCAGTCTTGTGCAGCAGCCTCCCATGTGTCAGGGTCTATTATCATCATCATCCGGTGCCTTGCCGATTTGCATGTAGTGATCATGCCTCTCCACAATCTGCAAACTCCTGCAGCATGTATCAGTTCATGTGCTGACACACCTCCATGCCATGCAACAAGGCTGTCAAGAATCTTCTCTCGTTGTCTTCCTCTATCCCTCCTTCCACAGATCTTTCCAGTGGTCACAACATGTTCTGTTTTCCCTGTTCTCATAACTTGACCAAAAAATGATGTTTGTGATAAGTTGTCTTCAGCTCCCACCTCTTTCAAAATCTCTTGGTTGCTCTTTTTGGCTGTCCAAGGTATTTTAAGCATTTTTCTGTAAAACCACATCTCTGAGGCCTCAAGAAATTGTTTTGCCTGCCTACCAATTTTCCAGGACTCACAGCCATATGTTAAAACTGGATGTATGTAGCAAGCAAGAATTCTTTTTCTAAGCTTCAATGACAGAGATATATTGCATAAGATCAGGGTCTGTATTAAAGTCTTTAAGTGGTGCCGTTAGTGTGTCCTTAAAGCATTTGTTTCTGGCCACCATAAGTGCATCCACCCTGCTGTATCTCACTATACAAAATTATTTTTGGGATCCAATGGTTTGGCAAGCGGACAACTGAAATAATACAAGATTTAGAAAATTAACCAGCAGAGCATTCAATGAAAAATCAATAAAAAAATAAAAAATAAAAAATCTTTTTTTTTAGAGACAGGTAAAATATTAGAGAAACTTAAGAAAGAAAGAATTTTGTTGTTCAAATATTTAATTTCTCAAAAACATTTAAAATTCTGGACGCTGATTAATGGCAAAATTCTGTGCCTCACTGTCTGTTTATTTCTGTGCAGGATGAGTATTGTACCGCAGCATACAAGACAGTTGAACTTGACACACTTCTGGATGATGTGCCAATACAACACCGTGAAGTTCAAGGTCACGAATCTGATCTGTTTAAATCCTATTTTAAGACCATGACGTAGGTTGGATTTTGTCATGTGCTAGTAGTGTTTACCAGGATGGCAGGATAATTATAAATTATTTAGTATGTTTGAATACATTACCATCATCACCATCTTCATCGTCATCCTCATCGTCATCCTCATCGTGATCCTCATCGTCATCCTCATCGTCATCCTCATCGTCATCTTCATCGTCAACCTCATCGTCATCCTCATCGTCATCCTCATCGTCATCTTCATCGTCAACCTCATCGTCATCCTCATCGTCATCTTCATCGTCATCTTCATCACCATGGAAGTTCAGCCTTTGGACTGGTTATGAAGATCCCATAGCATTGCATTTGATTATCTTCTTGTACCTCTCTTCTTTTTTTTTTTAAAATCCACAGTACACAGATATGAATTACTTGCACCTTGTGAGAAGTGTGAATAGATCATTGAGGTTTGGAGCAATATGAATTACTTGCCCCTTGTGAGAAGTGTCAATAGATCATTAAGGTTTGCAGCAAATGGTGTACTTGGGTGATGGGTGACCAGGGGATCTGGGAAACTTTCAATGGAATGGCAAGAGGGACATACATACAACAGACAGACACAGACAGACAGACAGACAGACAGACAGACAGACAGACAGACAGACAGACAGACAGACAGACAGACAGACAGACAGACAGACAGACAGACAGACAGACAGACAGACAGACAGACAGACAGACAGACAGGACAGACAGACAGACAGACAGACAGACAGACAGACAGACAGACAGACAGACAGACAGACAGACAGACAGACAGACAGACAGACAGACAGACAGACAGACAGACAGACAGACAGACAGACAGACAGACAGACAGACAGACAGACAGACAGACAGACAGACAGACAGACAGACAGACAGACAGACAGGACAGACAGACAGACAGACAGACAGACAGACAGACAGACAGACAGACAGACAGACAGACAGACAGACAGACAGACAGACAGACAGACAGACAGACAGACAGAAGACAGACAGACAGACAGACAGACAGACAGACAGACAGACAAGACAGACAGACAGACAGACAGACAGACAGACAGACAGACGCGACAGACAGACAGACAGACAGACAGACAGACAGACAGACAGACAGACAGACAGACAGACAGACAGACAGACAGACAGACAGACAGACAGACAGACAGACAGACAGACAGACAGACAGACAGACAGACAGACAGACAGACAGACAGACAGACAGACAGACAGACAGGACAGACAGACAGACAGACAGACAGACAGACAGACAGACAGACAGACAGACAGACAGACAGACAGACAGACAGACAGACAGACAGACAGACAGACAGACAGACAGACAGACAGACAGACAGACAGACAGTTACTGGTACTATCAACACTAAAACTCTTCACTGACTGCTGAAGTTGGAGGCAGAGCACTTATGGGAATGTCAAAATTTCTGTGATGTTAGTTATTCATGCAACTTAACTCAAATCTTTGGGGAAACATAAAGGCCATTGTAACAATATGAAAGTTGCCAACCCTATGCAGGACCTTGCTAACCAACTCCAGCATTTGTTGGCTGTGTGTCATTATATTCTGCAGTGTTTTTTTAAATTCAGTAATTTAATTGAAGCAATATAACTAACTGATCTACCATTAGTATTGGAACTCTCCACTGGCTACTGAAGAGAAGGACAGAGCATGCATGGGAATGCCCCGAGTGCTGTGATGTCAATTCTCGACTCAACTCAGGTCAACTAACTAAGGAAAATATGCTGGCATTATATAGGACACACACTGAAAAAAACCTGAGAATAATATAACTAGAATGTGTTTGCAAAAAGGAAGACCAAAAACTTTTGAGGGAAATTAAAGAAAAAGCAGGAAGAAGAGTTGGAGAATATAATACAAACAATTTGCGTTATTCAGACGTTACAGTTTTGGAAGCTGAAAATCCAACTGATTTACAACAACTGCTGGATATTGTGGGGATGGAAAGTGCTAAAAAAGGACTTTCATTGAATAAAAGAAAATGGAAGTAATGGTTATATCAAAGAAGAAGATAACTCCACAATTGAAGGAAAAAGACTTAACCAAGTCAATAAATTCCTTTCAAAATGGACGTTAGGCAGTGGCACTGTTCGAAACAGAGGCAAATTTTTTTGCTTCTGCCGGACAGTGGCCGATGCATTTTTGTTCCATTTGTAGACTGGATACAGTTTTGTCGCCCAGCTTCTGAGTTGAATGCGTGGCGTGACCCTGTGAGCTGCGGATTGCATTTGGAATGTTTTTTCGACTGTGACCAACGTCTTGGTGTGAATTGTAGAATCAGAAAATGGCGTGATGCCTGTCGTGCAGTGTTGTGGTGCCCGTATGTGATTAAAATTGATCGCGTGGGCAACTGCTGATCTGTTAGCGACTTCTGCTAACATCAATGACGAACTGCAATTCTAAAACTGTGATAAACATTCTGTGTGTTTTTCATTAGCAAAGGAGCGGAGAAAAGATGGGGTGACCCGTTTGCTATGAAGCTGAAACTAAGACTACCAGACTACCAGACCAGACTAATAAATTCAAATATCTGTGAACAATTATATCATCAGATGGAAAATGTGTGACAGAGATTAAAAGCAGAATAAGTCTGGCAAACAGGCGGTTAACACTCTGGGGTACATGGAGGAACGTTGCTGTCACTACGGAGTTTGGTGCGGACGGTGACACGGGCAGTCACTTATCAGCTGTCCGTTCTGGTGGCAGAGCACTTATGGTTTATAACCGTGTGCAATGATGCTGGTTCACATCTCCCGACTTTATCTTTAGATGGAATATCCGAGGCCGTAAATACCAATATCTACCTAGCCCAAATCAAGTCTAGTCTCACAAGTGAGGTCTATTCCAAACGTGATGCTAAAAAGTAGAACAGGACTAGAGATGGAGAAGAAGGTGTATATATTTGACCCCTAAAAGTAAAATATTTGTCATTTTGTTGTTTTATCATTCCTGATATGCAGTTTGACAGCAAACAATTTTGAAAGTGTTATGGAGCACTTGACCACCAAGAAAGCAATGGCAAACTACTGTGCATAAAAGTGACTAGTAAAATCACAGCAGCGCCCCCCCCCCCCCCCCCCCCCCCCCCCCCCCAATGCTGAGGTTTGTATTGCTACTTCATTTAAAGAATGGGCAACTAATTTTATTTTTTTAAATCATTCCCCATTGCCACCTTCCTTCCCCTTTTCTCCTCTTCCCCTTTTCTCCACTTCTCTCCCCCCCCCCCCCCCCCCCCTGCCCCCCCAATTATTTTAAGGCAGCTTTTATTATTTTCTGAGCCTGAATGAATTAAAATTATTACTATGTGATGTGAGTTAACATTGACATCTAATTGAATTCAGAGTTGTTTTTTTATAACAATAATCAGAATATTAATGATTATAATTACAGAATAATGAAAGGTGGAGCAGACAGTGGTTTCAGGCATGTGAAACCAGAGGAATATAAACCAAGATTGCTACATGTATCTGGCACCAAAAATTGTGTCACAGTAACTGAGGTAAGGAAAACAAAAGGAGTTTCAACCTATACCACTCTACTTAGCAAACAAAGAGACTATCTGGCTCTGCACCACTTGGTGGTGAATTCTTCTTCTTCTGTGTTTATTTCATCTTTGCTACATGTCCCACATCTCACATTTGTTACATGTCCCACATCTCACATTTGTTACATGTCCCACATTTTACATTTGTTACATGTCCCACATCTCACATTTGTTACATGTCCCACATCTCACATTTGTTACATTTCCCACATTTCACATTTGTTACATTTCCCACATCTCACATTTGTTACATGTCTCACATTTCACATTTGTTACATGTCCCACATCTCACATTTGTTACATGTCCCACATCTCACATTTGTTACATGTCCCACATTTCACATTTGTTACATGTCCCACATTTTACATTTGTTACATGTCCCACATCTCACATTTGTTACATGTCCCACATTTTACATTTGTTACATGTCCCACATTTAACATTTGTTACATGTCCCACATTTTACATTTGTTACATGTCCCACATCTCACATTTGTTACATGTCCCACAGTTAACATTTGTTACATTTCCCAGATTTCACATTTGTTACATGTCCCACATTTTACATTTGTTACATGTCCCACATCTCACATTTGTTACATGTCCCACATTTAACATTTGTTACATTTCCCACATTTAACATTTGTTACATTTCCCACATTTCACATTTGTTACATGTCCCACATTTTACATTTGTTACATGTCCCACATTTCACATTTGTTACATGTCCCACATTTTACATTTGTTACATGTCCCACATCTCACATTTGTTACATGTCCCACATTTTACATTTGTTACATGTCCCACATTTAACATTTGTTACATGTCCCACATTTTACATTTGTTACATGTCCCACATCTCACATTTGTTACATGTCCCACATTTAACTTTTGTTACATTTCCCACATTTCACATTTGTTACATGTCTATTGTCTGCTACATTTTATGTGCACTTGAAAGTCATTGAAAGCTATGCCTCACATACAACATAGTATCTAGGTGATGATTCAGTCATACTACAGTAGAACCTCGCTTAACAAGCACCTCTCATAACGAGCAAAACAAATTGTAAAAAAAAATGACTTGCTTAATGAGCGACGTTCGCATAACGAGTGGCGAGGAGAGGGGAAGTGCCGAATTGTGCGCATGTTACATCAGTCTGGTTTAGCACTCATTCCAGTAGCATCGTAGTGTCGCTTGTGATCACACATTTTCTCAAACTTGTGTTATATTGTGATATATGTACATGAATCCTCCAGGCCTACAAGATGACCTCCCTGAAGAATTTAAGTTCATCAAGATCCAATTTCTGCCTCTCAACACCACTCCGTTTCTCCAGCCCATGGACCAGCAAGTTATTTCTAACTTTAAGAAGCTCTACACTAAAGCACTCTACGAGCATTGTTTTCAGGTGACTGAAGGGACCAACCTCACTCTCAGAGAGTTTTGGAAAAATCACTTCCACATCGTTGCCTGCCTCAAGATGATCGACACGGCGGGGGAAGGGGTTACCAAGAGAACCCTAACTTCTGCTTGGAAGAAGCTTTGGCCAGAGAGCGTTGTCGATTTGTGACTTTGAGGGGTTCGAGACAGTACCTGGGGAATCTGTAGTCAACGAGATTGTGTCTTTGGCCACTATCATGGGATTAAAGATGGATGACAGTGGAAGAGAACAGACAAGAGCTGATCACCGAAGAGCTTATGGAGTTGCTTTGTGTTTCACAGCAAGAAGTTTTGGAGAAAAGTTTGTCAGAGGAGGAGGAGGTAACAGAAAAGCCATAATCTTCTGGCGAAATAAAAGAAATGCTGAAAGCATGGAAAAGTGTTGCATCTTACATTGAGAAGCATCACCCTAATAAGGAAGTGGCTATGCGTGTTGCAAATTTATTTAATGATAATGCTGTGTCGCATTTTCGCCAAATTTTGAAACGTCAGCAAAAACAAATCTTTCTAGTAAAAAAAAAAATAATTAACTATGTGTCATAATTATTTTGCCTTTTTTTTTTTTTTTGCAAATCGAATTCGTATTCAGGTGGTTTCGTTCCGCGGTGGAAGAAAAGATGAAGATGATTCCCTCTCCTTAACAATATGTATATAAATTTCTTTGAATAAACGTTATACATAACATTTTGTGAGTACTTTTTTCGACATGGAACGCATTATCGTATTTTACATTAATTTTTATGAGAAAAATGGTTTCGCATAACGAGCGTTTCACTTAACGAATAGGATTCTGGAATGAATTATGCTCGTTAAGCAAGGTTCCACTGTATATGATGTGTAACTCAGTTCAGCACGGTATAACAATCTGTTCACAAATACATACTTGTATTTAACAGAATGTTCATGTCTGCCAACATGACACCAATAGGATGCAATAAGGTATCACACAAGATACCATCTATAGCATTATGATGGCATTCAAGAGTTTACTACACCAACACTCCACATCCTCAAAATAGTTACTAGCAACACTCTGAAACACCACATCAACCTGGCTGCCACTCCTGTCCTGGATTCAGGAGCTGTCTCCGCCTCTGTGCCTACGGTAGCCGGCTAACCCTCACACTAAGGCTTGCAGTGAGAATGGACACTTTCCATGGCTCCTACTTAGCTTCACCGTGAATAATAGGTTGTATTACACAGGCACAATTATCTTTGAAATGACTAGTGACTTCCACTAACTTCTAAGTCCCTGCGATACTCACATTCGCGAGTCAGAACATTCATGAGGTATTCTACACAATGAACTGGCCAGAAACTACCATCCTGAGTCTCTTGTGTTCCCAACTGAAGCCAGACACCAACGAGGAACAATCATGTCCTCACAGTTAGAATGATTCCTTGCTCAGAAGCACGGCAGTTATTCTCATGCCTCAACTCAATTCACACAGACCTCAGTGAGCCAGGTTTTGCCTGCCAAATTCTCGGTCTGAATGTTGACTCAAGCATCATTGACACTTCATGAATTTACTGGTCAACATGCCTGTCCCAGTTCCTACACATTTTACACACAAAAATGCCTCACATCTTACACTTGTTACATGTCCCATATCTGATCTTTGTTACATGTCCCACTTCTTACATTTGTTACATGTCCCACATCTCATATTTGTTACATGTCATATTTGTCACATTTGTTACATGTCCCATATCTCACATTTATTACATGTCCCATCCATCATAATTGTTACATGTCATGTTGTTCACATTTGTTACATGTCCCATTCCTCACACTTGTTACATGTCCCATTCTTTTTATTTGTTACATGTCCCATTCCTCACATTTGTTACATATCCCATTACCCACACTTGTTACATGTCCCATAACTCCTATTGTTTGTATCTTACTTTGCACAGGTTCCAATGAACAGGTCAAGGGTCACATCAAATGATGTTTTCATTCTGGACAAGGGCTTGGAACTTTATCAATGGAATGGAAAATCTTGTAACAAAGATGAGAAATACAAGGTAGTTAGTTACCTGGGAGTTATTTTGGGATCCACTGATAATGATTGTTATTTTCCTGAGTGGTGATGAGTGTTATTTTATTGAGTGGTGATAAGTGTTATTTTATTGAGTGATAATGAGTGTAGTTTACTAAGAGTGGTGATTAGTGTTATTTTACTGAGTGGTGATAAGTGTAGTTTACTAAGAGTGGTGATTAGTGTTATTTCACTGAGTGGTGATGTGTGTTCTTTTACTGAGTGGTAATGAGTGTTATTTTACTGAGTGGTGATGAGCATTATTTTATTGTGGTAACAAGTGTTATTTTACTGAGTGGTGATGAGCATTATTTTACTGAGAGTGGTGATGAGTGTTATTTTACTGAGAGTGGGGATGAGTGTTATTTTATTGAGAGTGGGGAATAGTGTTATTTTACTTAGAGTGATGTGGAATTTTGTTTTACTGAGAGTGGTGATGAGTGTTATTTTACTGAGTGATGATGAGTGTTATTTTACTGTGGTGATGAGTATTATTTTACTGAGTGGTGATAAGAGTATTTTTTTTACTGAGAGTGGTGATGAGTATTTTTTTTACTGAGAGTGGTGATAAGTGATATTTCTTTGAGAGAGGTGAGGAGTATTATTTTACTGAGAGTGGTGATGAGTTAATTTACTGAATGGTAATGGGTGTTATTTTACTGAGTCTAAGAAAATGTAAAGATCCATTTATATGGATCCAGGTATATGTGAAGAGTGCCAATATTTTAACAGACCATCGACACTAGGTGGGTAATGTTGTCAGCATTACACCAGCCATCTTTGCTCCCTATGACCGCCATCCTGGTACCAATTTTATGCTGGGTCAGCCTGCGACGCCCCATACCATATAAAAATCCACTCAGCCAGCAGTGGGTTTCGATCGCGGTACATTGGAATTACAAGTTGGACTCGCAACTCCTAACCCACGAATGCCGCATTTTACTGAGTGGTCATGCTTTTTTTTTCTAATAAAGATAATTTTTATCTAACCGACAAGGCTGTTCAAGTTCTTCAGGGTATTAAATCTGAGAGAGGAGGAAAACCGAATGTGGAAACTTTCGATGAGGATGATAATGGCGTAAGCATACATTTTCTATTTTGTCATTAAATACTTTCAGACTAAGGTACTGTAACTCAGTTTAGTGTTGTTTTTGCTAGTTGAAGTTGCTCTACTACTAATAGTTCAGTACTATTTTTGTCAGTTAACAGAAACTGAACTTCTTCTTTCGTCTTTTCTCTGCTCCTGGAATGCCTCACAGCATCAGGGCAGGAAGAGATCTCTGGAACTGGCTCTTCTGTTCGCTTCATTTAAAGTACTTTTTAGTGTCTCTTATATTTCTGCAGTCCGTCTTCTGCATGGTTGACCTCTGGATCTGTTACTATTGTATCTGTATAACACTACACTCTGTGGGGCCCTGTCTGCTGCCAGTTTTGTTACATGGTCAAACCATTTGGTTTGTTGTCTACTGATAAAGTTTAGTTTTGGTTCTGTGCACCCTCTCCTCCTTATATCATCATTCCTAAATTGATCTTTCCTCATTACATCTAGCATAGTACATAAACATTTTATTTCTGTCGTGACTATTTTCCTTTTGTCTTCAGAAGACTGTCCATGTTTGACCTTGATTGATAGCGTAGTGTTGGTAAGAATATTGTGTTGATCTTGCTTGCATTTCAGAATTGCTTCCATCGATACACTCCCATGACCCTAATGGGTCAAGGGTATGTTATGTTGTGTTATTTCAAAATTGGTGACATTTGGCCTAATACTTGATTGACTTTACTGTATCTTTTTGGACTTCCTTATTAATTCTTCAGTCTTCTAAAAAATGCTCGCAAGATAGGTAAACTCCTTCGCCTGCTTTAACTCTTTGAGTCCCAAGGAACGCATCATACGTTCATAGGTTCCTACCTAGAAGCCCAATGAACACATGATGCGCCGATTTTATTACTTTCTTTAGTACACCCTGGGCCTGTGATGCTAAACCCCCTGGGACTCAAAGAGTTAACTGGCGTTTATCAATTTTGCTATTGGTAGTTTTTCTTTTCCTAGAGAATTTCATAATGTCTGTTTTGTCTGCATTGATCTTCATATAATAGTTGTCACATTCTGAGTGGAATCTAATTTATCAATATTGATGTTAGTGTGTGTTTTTCCCAGTTAAAATCACTATGTAATGGTACTGATCTTTAACCTTTTTTTTTTTTAAGTAAAGGGTGTAACTTTTTTGGACTCTAATTACTGGTATCATGGACGCTGATAATGTGCAATAGTTAGGACATATAGAGAGAACAGGAGCTAACAGAGAGACACAAACTGTGTACTTAAAAGAACTGAACGGGAGTTAACTCTTTGAGTCCCAAAAGGTTTAGCATCACAGGCCCAATGGGTAGTAAAGAGAGAGTAAAATCGACATACCATGCGTTCATTGGGCTTCTACGTAGGAACCTATGAATGTATGACGCGTTCCCTGCGACTCTAAGAGTTAACTATGAAACAGACCAAGAAGAGATAATACCCAGACAGACCTACAAACACTTTGAGTCATCAGCTGGGAAGAGAAGGTCAATAACAGAGATGAATGGAAACAGGAGATATCTGAAGCAATGAACCTCAAGGGTGCTGAATGCTCAAGAAGGAGGAGGAGGAAGACGAAGAAAGAGGAAGAAGGAGAAGGAATAATATGGAGTAGAGGAGGAGAAGGAGGAAGAAAAGTAGGAGGTAGACAAGATGTGATTATTATTATTATTTACATTAATGTTGGTGTTGTTGTTGTTTTTGTCACCTAAAGGCATTAGACCAGTGGTTTTCAACCTGGAAAGGGGCTGTGGGGAGGGGAGGGGGGGAGTGATCACAGCCTAGCTGTAAACAACATGAGCAGCCACCGTGCAGATTATTTATCAGGTTTTTGTTTGGTCTGGTACATATCTTTTATATAATTATCTTTTATCTGCTATAGAATGGTTTCTTTGACTACTTTGGTGAAGAAGAAGATGATGATGATGATGATTCTGAGTTTCATGATGATGACAAGACACCTGAACTGTACAGGTATGTAGTTTGCAATGACCCACCTGGACTCAGTTAACTGTATTACTTAGGAACTTGAGAAGTTTCTATACAGAACTGTACACACACAGTCCACAATTATTTGTATTACTTAGGAACTTGAGAAGTTCCCATACAGAACGGTACAACACAGTTCACAGTTAATTGTATTACTTAGGAACTTGAGAAGTTCCTATACAGAATGATACACACAGAGTCCACAGTTAATTGTATTACTTAGGAACTTGAGAAGTTTCCATACAGAACGGTACACACACAGTTCACAGTTAATTGTATTACTTAGGAACTTGAGAAGTTCCCATACAGAATGATACACACAGTTCACAGTTAATTGTATTACTTAGGAACTTGAGAAGTTCCCATACAGAATGATACACACAGTCCACAGTTAATTATATTACTTAGGAACTTGAGAAGTTCCCATACAGAAGGGTACACACACAGTCCACAGATAATTATATTACTTAGGAACTTGAGAAGTTCCTTTGCCTCGCCCAAACACACACAAAGTCCACAATGTATGTACAAATGTTTATTGAGTAGTTCAAAACATGTACAGTCCCTGTCGGAAGTTTCGTTGTCTAGGCTATCAAATCACTCGTAATAATAACCAATTACTCTTTAACAGTCGTTCTGCAGAGTAGCAAGCATTACTTCAGAGGTCCTAGGTATCAAGCGTCCTTTGGATATTTTCTCCAGGTCATGCTGGTGTGTTGGGAAATGAGCAGGCAGATAGACTGGCCAATTCTTCACCTCTTGATGGTGAATTATTGTATGACAAGCTAGATGTTGTAAGAGAGGGAACAGATAGATCATTTTTATCTGAGGAGAACAGCACTACGAGGAGTTACTAGGGGATCTGGCTGATGCTCAATACTCAAGGGAAAGGCAAAATGAATGTTCAATCAGACAGTTACTGGTAACATTGAAAGATGGGGACGGAGAGACCTACATCAAGTGGCAACGAACCGACAGACGTGGAAAGCTATGACCTCTGCCCTATGCGCCATCTTTGGCACAAGAGGAATAACTAAGTGGTGAAAATATTGGTGACTGCAGTCAAGCTAATACCAAGAAATTAATTCAGTCAACTGTGACTAACTAGCTTAACGAATAAGGATTTTTGTGTAAGCACCAGACAGAAACAAATGCATGAAAACTTATCGAGGATTCAAACCTGAGTCTCCCATGAGAGAACCCAGTGTTCTAAATCGTTTGTCAGCTGATCCTCATTAAGGAAACAAAGAGTAATGATATTAATTTACCATGCAGGTAAGAAGAGATGACTAAGAGAGGTTTATCATGACACTGAACACCACATATAGCAGAAAATATTACCTGGAAAATCCAAAACATAATAGATAGTATACAAAGGGCTTAATGTAAACTAGCTGAGGTTCAATGCTCTTCGGGAGAATAAAGGAAGAAGAAGAAAACAAAGGAGAGTAGAGAAGGGTGAGGAAGAGGATGAGAAGGAACGGGACATTGTGGTGCTGGGGTGTCTGTGGATTACCTACCTCCCCGGGCAGCAGCTAGAAATGCCCTGTACCAGTTCTAAAGGAAATATGGGTTGTGTTTCTGCCTTCCCCTTTAACACGTAGCTAACGTGGGCCTCACAGTGTGCTCATTCCCCACCACCAGATTGCCTGCAGGTTTCACTGAGCTCTTCATGGCTCTAAGCATGAGTAGTTGGGGCAACTGGATCGTCCCTGTGCCTTCACGATAGTTTCCAGTATTCAGGGGGGCTAGCATACTTGTTTCCATTCCTAAGACTGTTCAGCACACCTCTGGCTCCTTCCCTCCCACAGGGGGCAGTACGGTGTGGTGCACCGGGTTTATTATCGAGGTTTGCTCCTCTAGATTCATTGTGTTTTGCCTGGGGATTCCCACTCCCAGTTACCAGGACTACCTCGGGGAGGCTGTGACTCTTCGCCACGCACAGTGGTCTTGAGGTAATAGAGGTTTTGCTAGGTCAAGAGGCTGACACCATAATGGACGCTCCTTTCGTGAACAGATATTCACTAGACCTAGGGTTAAGTAATGGGGGGGGAGAACCCACTACCCACAACACCAACACTTCTTACCCCCTGCCTCTTGAGGCTCAGTCCCGAGAAGGAACGGGAAAAAGAGAAGAGTATGGAGAGTTCAGGGGAAGGAATAGTGAAGCACTATTACATGTTACTGAACTCTATTGTTAGTTCATCTGTTAAATTGCAAGGTATTTTAACTTTTTGTTGAACTGTGTGACAATATTCAATCAATCAATCAGGTGCCATCTCCACAGTTAAGGTTAACTGCAATGGATCTTAAACAAGTCCTGATCTGATGATATGTGTTTGTTTGATTTTGTTATAGTTAGTGAAAAAGAAGAATTCAGCAGGTGTTAATTTCACATGAACAACATTTCACAAAAAAATTCTTCACTTACCATGGTTTTGCAGCCACAAAAATAGTAAATATCCAAATTTGAGAACAAAACTTCAAAGTTTGTTCAATTTCCTAACATATTCTAAAGTTATGATAACTCTCTGGGTTAATTTATCACTCAGGGGCTCTTAGTTCCCACCAAGTGCTAAGCAAAATTTCAGAGAAAAAATGGCAGAAAAATGAGCCATAACACACACACTATTTACTTTTCACTTTGTACAGTTATTTACAGACTGTAGCTGTGATGATTTCAATGTAGCTTTGCCATAGTATAGTACTATCTCTTTGTTTAGAGCACTTTCCTTCTCTTACACCATAAATACGGTAGTATGGGACATTGTCTGTGTAATAAACTCGTTAGAATCGCTAGATTCCGAACAGCTGATCGCTCAGCTTCACTGGTGAAAATTCACTGTCCGAATCATTTTCCGAAAAATCTAAATTTTTATTATCATTATCACAATTAAAAACATCTGACTGAAACAATTTCAGCGTCGGCCGTAGAAAGACGCATTCTGTGACCTGTTCTTGTGGTTAGAACATTGGTATTCTGTGCACTCAAAAACTAACTTAGAAAATGAACTGTTAAAAAAATTTTGATATTTTTTTCTCTCAAATTATCTACGTGTGGTTAAGTCCAAGAAATGAAACTAAAAGGATTTCGGCAGAGTGACTTTCCCTGAAAAGGTTATTTTTACCTCCAAACATTAGAAACTAGTACGAACGCGCGTGCGAAGCAAAATGTAAGAGATACACGATTAACAATGGCACCGTTGTTTAGGCAGAACGGAACTTCTCAAACTACGCTCACACCGTTGTTTGGGTCTTAAAGAGTTAAGTTAATATGAATTAATGTAAGAATGTTTACTTCCCAAAAGGCTGTCTGATGATGCTGGAGAACTAAATTTTGAGAAAGTCAAAGAGGGCAGAGCTTTCAAAAGTGACTTCAAAAGCAGTGTAAGTAATCAGTAATGGCATTATTATATTTGTAGCCATAAAAATGAGTGAGCAGACAATTATTACAATTTTACCTGACTGATTGACCAGACAGTAATCTCTGTTGTACCTGTCTGAATGATGAGAAAGTAATTACATTTGTATATATCTGTGTGACCAGACAGTAATTACATTTGTATGTGTGTGTTGCTAGCCACAGTGTTGCTAGCAGAGAGTGAGCAGGAGTTGCAAGGAGCAAGTAAACAGAAGGAGTGCAGAATTTGGATAAGATAATAATTTGAAAAAGACAAAAACCATGATATTTAGCAAAGAAAATAATCAGCTAACAATGTTAACGGGGTGAAATTGGAACATGTTAAAAATTTCTTAAATCTTGGACAAGTAATAACATGTGACGGCAAAAGTGAAACAGAAGTCAAGAAAAGAATAGGGATGGCCAAAAACATTTTCAACAACATGCAAAAGTTACTGACATCAAGAGAAGTAAGCAATACAATAAAAATGAAAATTGTCAAATGTTAGGTATTCTCAACCTTACTGGATGGCACAGAGACATGGACAATGAACAAACAACTGGAAAATCGTATCAATGCTTTGGAGATGTGGATATACAGAAGATAAGGTCACATTTCATGGAAACAAAGGCTATCAAATACAGAGGTACTGAGGAAATTGGAAATGAAAAGAGAGTTGCTAGGTGAAATAAAATAGAGACAAGTGAAATATTTTGGTCACATTAAAAGACATAACAGTATTATAAAGATCATCCTAGAGGGAAAGGTTCAAGGTAGGCAAGCAAGAGGCAGACAGCGTTACAAGTGGGAGGATAACATCAAGAGATGGACGAACAACAGTATGAGTGAGTGTACATCAAGGGCAAGAGACAGGGCTTGTTGGAGATCCATTGCAGCCAACCTTCATTGTGGAGACGGCACCTGATTGATTGATGTGTGTGTGTGACAAGACAGTAATTACATTTGTATTTGTGTGTGTGACCAGAAGGTAATTACATTTGTACATGACTAAGTGACCAGACAGTAATTACATTTGTACATGACTAAGTGACCAGACAGTAATTACATTTGTGCATGTCTAAGTGACCAGATAGTAATTACAGTTGTACATGGCTGAGTGACCAGACAGTAATTACAATTGTACATGACTAAGTGACCAGACAGTAATTACATTTGTACATGACTAAGTGACCTGATAGTAATTACATTTGTACATGGCTGAGTGACAAGACAGTAATTACATTTGTACATGAATAGGTGACCAGATAGTAATTACATTTGTACATGGCTAAGTGACCAGATAGTAATTACATTTGTACAGAAAATGTTGCCTACATACATGGATAACATCTGACAGAAAAGGATGCCTAGGTACATGGATAACATCTGACAGAAAGTGTTCTCTAGGTACATGGATAACATCTGACAGAAAGTGTTCTCTAGGTACATGGATAACATCTGACAGAAAGTGTTCTCTAGGTACATGGATAACATCTGACAGTGAAATTGTTCTCTAGGTACATGGATAACATCTGACTGAAAATGTTCTCTAGGTACATGGATAACATCTGACTGAAAATGTTCTCTAGGTACATGGATAACATCTGACAGAAAATGTTCTCTAGGTACATGGATAACATCTGACAGAAAGTGTTCTCTAGGTACATGGATAACATCTGACAGAAAGTGTTCTCTAGGTACATGGATAACATCTGACAGAAAATGTTCTCTAGGTACATGGATAACATCTGACAGAAAGTGTTCTCTAGGTACATGGATAACATCTGACTGAAAATGCTGCCTAGGTACATGGATAACATCTGACTGAAAATGCTGCCTAGGTACATGGATAACATCTGACAGAAAATGTTCTCTAGGTACATGGATAACATCTGACTGAAAATGCTGCCTAGGTACATGGATAACATCTGACAGAAAATGTTGCCTAGGTACATGGATAACATCTGACTGAAAATGCTGCCTAGGTACATGGATAACATCTGACAGTGAAAATGTTCTCTAGGTACATGGATAACATCTGACAGTGAAAATGTACCACACAGATGAAGAACAGAACAGAACAAGTTCAAAAGTGCATTTTATAAAATTAAGAAGATTTGTATCAGTAAAGTATATGAAAAGCATTCTCATATGCTATATAGAGCCAGGTATAACATATGGCTGTGAATCCTGGACAATTAATAAACATGCAAAATGTCTTAAGACCTCGCAGAATTCCTTGGATAGGCAAAAAGAGCAAATCTTATTTTTTTTTTTTAAAGAGAGAAAGGGTTTGAGAACAACCTATCACAAACATCAGAAAAAAGGCAGTCATCATATTTTGATCATGTTATGAGAAGAGGGAACCTGAAATATTTTGTGACCACTGCAAAGATTCTTGACACCTTTTATCATGGCATGGAGGGGTGTCAACACACGAACCAATACATGCAGTTGCTGATCACAGATTGTGAAAAGGCATGATCGCCAGTCGTCAAGACACTTGATGATATTGTTTCCAGTATATGAAAGTGTTAACTTATATTTTTGTGTCTGTATATGTCAGGATGCATTTGTGTATGACAACAAAAAAGACCTGTTTGTGTGGATTGGCAAGAATGCCTCCAAAGAAGAGCAGCACAATGCACTGACATATGCTCATGTAAGTAACTCCTTTCTTTTTATGTAGATGTAGGCGGTCAGTTCCACTATAATCTCCCCAGCGACCGCCCATATACACACTAGATCACTTCTGATTGGTCAACCTTGAGTCACCCGACCTTGGCACACTGTTATGGGGGTGTTCAGCAATGCTGTTGATAAAGCATGTTGTTTATTTAAGCACACCAGCTCTTTTAACACTACAAAAACATTTAGAAACTGAGTCTAACACACAACCCCGCTAGAGAGTGCTGCAACCTATGTCACAGGCATATGTTGTCGATTGGAACCATATTGGGTATCATCATCATCATCAGGTGCCTTACCGACTGGCGTGGGTGATCATACCTCTCCACAATATGTGATCTTCTGCAGCATGTATCAGTTCTTTATCTGAATTCGTTATGTTTCAAGGCATGATTTTCTGTGAATAATACAGCAATGGTTTCCCCTTGCATTCCACCTGTTTGTATATGGTTTGACTCTATTAGCCTTTGTCTAAAGAGACTTACGCTGCAAAGCAGCAGGGAAGAGAGGTTATGGCGCCTCTTACCCGCCGATGGCCATGTCGTAGAGTTTTGAGGTATTTTAAAGAGCTAGCTGTTCCACCAACTAACTCGCCTCCTTTCAATGACCATCAAATGTTTTGGTCCATGCCACTTATTCAATATATTTGTGGCTAAACTCTATTCTATATCTAGAGGCCTTTCCACCATCCGCTACCTGGTGGATGCTCCTAGTATTAGGACAGGTTCCTACACTAGGATGTTGGGTATAGATTAAAAAAAAATTTTTTTTTTAATTAGAAATGAAGACGATAAGAGGAAAGAGGGTGACTGTTTCCAACCTCATACCCAGGGGTTGTGTGGTCTCGAGGTATGGTGTCCACCTCATATGCTAGAGGTCCCGGGTTCAGACCCTGGTGAGGGCTGGAATTTTTTTCACGTGGACTTCTAATAATTTCCCCTTGTCTCTGGGTAGTGAGATTGGACACCTGTGTGTAATGTTGCGCACCTGAAAAATCGCTTGGCAGTTGGAAATCAAAGAGAGTAGCCTAACAGCACTGCCCGGGCAACATTTGGAGTTAAAAATCTATGCAAAATATATTAGGATCCTTGCCGGTGCTACAGAGCCCATGCACTGCACTGAGCTACTTTGAACTCACACTTGAGTTAGAAGTAGAACGGAGCACTTATGGGTTACTACCTGTGTACCATGATGACGATCCATTGTTCAAACCTCAAACCACAAACCTCTAACATAAAATTAAGAAAGAAAGCATATAACTTCTGAGCTCAACAGAACAAAACAAGACGGATACAAATAAGCACATTGATAATGTCTTTATTAACAACAACAGCAACAAAACATGAATACATTACTAGAAATTGATGTTTCACTATAATAAATAAGATATTCACCTGTCTGTAAAAAAAAAAAAAAAACCACAATTAACACTAAAGCTCAGAGAACAAAACAAGACTGGAAGGAATTAAGTAAATTTGAAAAAAATCATCATCATTCAGCTGGGAGCCATGTGCCTTGCGTTAGTTTCGACAGTCATATCAAGAAAGCCGACCATCCAGAAAGCAATGGCAAACTACTGGACATAAATTTGCCTAGAAAAACCACAGGGGCTGTTTGGGTTGGTTCTGCAACGTCCTGAAAAGGATGCGCAACTAACCATCATCTTTCAGCAAGTCTTTTACAGAATGTCGCTCTCCTCGCGACATGCCTGAAAGTATCCCTTTCCCTAGCCAGCTCTCCAGCCCCATGTGCTTTTAATGCCTATGCATCTTCAATGTCCAGTATCCATCTTCACGGTGGTCAACCCCTGCTCTGCCTTCCACAAACTGCACCTGCCATCACTTGTCTTTTCCAAGCCACCATGACATTTGATGTGGCCAAAATACTTTAACTTTTGGGACAGAATGCTGTTTATGAACCAGTTTTCCTTGATGTTCAACTTGTTTAGAATGTTTAGAATTTTGGAAAAATTGGAAAGCTAAGTTTAAAAAAAAATATTTTTAAGGATAAAAAAAAAAGCACAGTTATCAAACATGAACTAAAAAACATTCTTCTTGAATGTTTCCACCCTTTATCCCACAGTGTATCATAGCTCACATCAAGTTATCTTACTGTTTGCTGTCACATACATATCACCCCATGTCCTCCCAATCTTTTTAACATCACTCTCAAGCTCTCTTCCCCATGTGTAACATTCCAGATTTAAATGCTGGAGATTTCCCTAGGTGAAAAAGTTGCACTCTTGATTCAGAATCCTTTCAGTTTTCACAGCACCATTTCATCATTCTTCTATTAGAAGAGTGTCCCTTTATCTTGGTAGGCTGGACAGTACTCTGTGTGTGTGCGTGTATGTGTCTGTGTGCATGTGTGTGTGAGCGTGCATGTGTGTATCTGTGTGTGTGTGAGAGAGAGAGAGAGAGAGAGAGAGAGAGAGAGAGAGAGAGAGAGAGAGAGAGAGCATGTGTGTGTAGATGTATGTATGTGTGTGTATGTGTACGAAAACGGACAGAATTCATCTCAAACCATTGAAATGGCACATTAGGTTACATAAACTTATATTTTTTAATAGAAGGTTAAGGACATGGTTTGGGGTACCTGAAATAGTGAAGAATGCAGCCGTGAAACAAACCCATGACCTTTAGAGCACTAGGTAAACGGCTTTACCACTTTGCCATAGAGACCCCCTAGCATCAGAGGTCCAAGGGGTAGTCAAAAGAGACATAATATCGTCACATCTTGCGTTCATTGGGCTTCTAGACAGGCACCTTTGAACGTATGATGAGTTCCTTGAGACTGAAAGAATTAAGACATCGTTTCCCCTGATGACTAACTCTGATCTTGCTTTTATGCTGGACGAACTCATCACATCATACAAAAATGTTATATGCTAAGATGCTGAGAAAGGTGGAGACCAGATTACTCTATGAAGAGCTACAAGCATCGTTTCATGGGGCCCGAGTAGTCAGCACCCTTTCAATAGTTTCACCTGTGTATTCAGAAATGAACAGGCAGATAGACTGGCTGGTTCTGCACAATTTGGTGTATGATAAGCTAGATATTATAAGATCCCTTTGGCGGGCAAGTAAACAGTGCGGAGGCACACAAAGATCAACACGGTCTGAGGAGAATGGTGTTGCAACAAGTAATCAGGGGATCTGGTCAGTGATCACACTCAAGGGTAAGATAAGATGGGTATACATTTGGACTGTTACTGGTTACATCAGAATTGTAACTTTGTGATTGCTGTTGAAAATGGAGATGGAGCACTTCTGGGAAAGTCGCAAGTGCTGTGGTGTCAATTAAACATTCAGTCAGTCAGTCAGTAGCATGTCCTTTGAACCTTGCTCCCATAACCTCTCCCGAAAACTTCTCGATTACAAGCAAGATGGCCTGCGTCTGATACATCCATCTGGAGATCATCTGCCACATCCTGCACCCATCTTCTCTTTGGCCTTCCTCTTCCACTCTTCCCAGGCACATACCCCTCTATTACTGTTCTCTCTAAACTTTTGTGATGTTTCAAGTGGTTAAAATGTTTAAATATTCTGTGTTTTATCATCTTTTAATAGCCAACCTTCTTCAATACTCAGTTCTAAAAGTATGGATGCATTTGTTCTTTTCTTTACCCAGGATATTCTTAGAAAACATCTATAACATTTGTATTCAAGAGCATTTATTGTTCAACTTGTTTAGTAAGTGTCCAGGTCTCACATATTAAACATGCTAAAATGTATCGCTTGTTTTTTTTTTGCTTGCAGAGATTCTTGCAAAAAACAACCCATCCACTTTTGCCTATTACCGTGGTCACTGAAGGCAGAGAGAACAAGTACTTTAGAACCGCCATTGCTGCATAATCATATGCTTTTGTTGCAACATTAACTGTTGTGTTGTTATCGACATTACAAAGACACGTTAGGTCTTTTTTTTTCTACATTTGTAACACTTTACTAAATTATTTCCATAATCAAGCATAAGAGACTCATACTTCTAGAATATTCCAATCATTTTTTCATTATGTATGTGCATTTTTGTTGAAATATACTGGGAATTTGGAGGTTGCCTTTTTTTTTTTAAATCTTTGTAAAATATTTGCAACCTTAAAATAATTATTAATTTATAAAGTTGGGAATAAAGGTGAGTAATACACTTTATGTGTGCATGAATAAAACTGTGATAAGTATTATTTGACATAAATGAGAAAATGAAAAATTAATATATAAAAATTATAGAAGTTAATGGGTAACATAAATTTCCAGAACAATTTCAAATATTTGTCATATACTTGAAAAGAGAAATATAAAATATTTGGTATAAATATAATGAGAAAAAAAATCAAACATGGTTGCATTAACATGTTAATTACTTTTAGAAATAAGTATAGTATTCTATCATGTTTGCAGACATATTTCTAAAATAAGCAGATGTTTGTAAAGATTTCATAACTAGCAAAACTGCAATATAAACAACCTTGGGTTTGAAGCCTGAGAACACGCAATGTTAATCTCTCCATGCCCTGCCTATATTCACACCAGGTCACTTTTGATTGGTAGTTCCTGAGCCCCATGACCTTCGCACAAGGTCAGAGGGGTGTTCCGCAATACTGTTGATATTGGGTGTTGTATATTTTAGCACGCCAGTGCTTTTAACGCATGGAGCATCTGAACCTAACTCAACCCCTCTAGAGAGTGCTGCAACCTATGTCACAGGCATTCTCTTTCTCAGAATGAAAATGTAAATGCAAGACAAAACAAAGCAAACAACAGAGCGGGAAACACCCATAACCTTCAGGAAAGTCAACCAGTCCAACAAACTTGTGAATGAAAAGTGACCTACTGTTTTTGGGAGATTAACGTTACTTTAACTGAAGGTTGTAAGCATAAATTAATTCTCGTTTATGAGTTTTATTTTTAATTATCATTCTATTTGTTTCAAGTTTATAACATGATCCTATTTGTTTTGTATTTTTTAGCCCAGAATTAAGAAATAAACATTTTAAATATATTTCCCTAAATTTTAAACAAAACAAAAAAACTAGGAAAACATGTCATCCTATACACTTCACTGTGTGAAGTGAGAAAACCTAAAAATTGAAATGGGGGGTGAGGTGGGGGGGGGGGGGGGGGGGGGGTGATATTTGAATGTTGAATGTTGAATTAGGAATCAACATCACAGCACTCAGGACACCCCCATAAGCGCTTCATCACCATCTTCAGCAGCAAGTGAAGAGTTAAATTCCCAATGGTACCAGTAACTGTCTGATTGTATATCCCTCTTGCCTCTTCCCTGAGTGTCGAGCGTCAGCCAGATTCCCTTGTAAGTCCTCGTAGTACCATTCTCCTCAGACTGTAATGATCTATCTGGGCCTCGGCACTGTTCACTTGCTCCCAAAGGGCCCTCACAACATCCAACTTGTCATACATCAGCTCACCTCCAAGTGGCCCAGAACCGGCCAGTCTATTTGCCTGCTAATTTTTCAACACACTGGCATGACCTGGAGAAAATATCCAAAGGATGCTAACTACCCAGTATTTGATATTTGAATTGTTGCTACATTTACAATTTTCATGTTCTACTGTGATTTGATTGTACAGACCAGGTCATATTTTTCATGCACAAATTGTACCAGTGTTTTTTACCTTCAAAATTCTCTAGTGTGGTGATTTGATCATTTTTGCTGTTAGCAGTAAACTCATACTGTTGGAAAATTGAATTTAGAAAAAAAAAATTTAAAGCAGTTCTCAGCAAAATGATTCAAACAATGCAGTGGAAAATATTAATGAAATTAATGAAATTTAGATGAAATTGTAGCTATAGTTATGAATGGAGTACATACTTAGTAATTAGCCTTGGTAAGGTATAATGAGTTTATTTAAGAACCGACATCACAGCACTTGGGGCATTCCCATAAGCGCTCTGTCCCAATCTTCAGTAGCCAGTGCAAAGTTCCGATACTAATGGTGCCAGTAACATTCTGATTAAACATCCGTCTTGCCTTTCCTCTGAGACTCAAGCATCTGCCAGAGCCCCTCGTCACTCCCCGCTGCATCAATCTCACCTAGACGCTTGCCTGCGGATCGGATGGTCGTGGGTTTGCTCCCTGGTGGAGCCTGAATATTTTCAAAAATGACCTTGGCTCCCAGCCTGGTGCAGTCCTGGGAAGTAAAGGCGGCCAGCGTGATGCTGATCACATCACCCCTCTTGTGCTGATTGGTCTATAAAAATATAGGTCTAGCCCTATACACCTAAAGGCGTGGAAAAGGGTCCTTTCCTTTTACTTTCCCTCAATATGTTTCAGTGAATTGTATCTTTTTTTAAATTTTTTTTATGTTAGATCAAATATCGGTATTTGATGACCAATTTGACAGTTTTATCATAACAGTCATTTACAAATTTAAATTCTCCATTTCTTAGTATTTATTGGTTGCAACACAAATGACTGGGCAAGCGGTTTAAATGCAGGACTCTGAGTTGGGAAACCTAGGTCTGAAATCTTAATAAGTTGATGAAAAGTTTTTCTGTCAAAGACAAATATAAAAATCTTACCATTTTGCCTGTTTGTGGTGACTGCACTAGTCATGGGGCCCTAAATCCTCAGGCTGAAGATTCTAGGCCCAACAATGATCCCAAAAGACGGACACTAGTAAATGTAATGTGAATTTGTCACTAAAAATATAAGTGTATATTATCAATTATTGTAATATTTCTTCTGCCTTTCTAACCCCCAATAGGCCCTCAACCAACTCACACCAAGTCGTTCTACCCTTCGCTATCGCATGCAGCTCTTCCCATGTTCTAACCATCTTTTTAACCTTCTCTCCAGCTCCCTTCTCCATGTATTTGTTTAGTCTTCCTTTATTCCTATGCCCCTGTGAGTTCCAGTGCAAAAGTATTCTAGTTATATTGCTCTCAGGTGCTCTCAGCCTGTGTCCTATCCAGCACCAGCATCTTTTCTTCACCTCTTGGTCCAATGGAACTTGTTTAGTTCTCTCCCAAAGCTCTACATTAGTGATTTTATCATATCATTTAATTTCCTCTATTCTGCGCAGGCACCAGTTAATGAATGTTTGTGATAATTTTAACATAAAATATATAATCAGATTGTAAAAGTTCTAAAATTTAATTTAAAGAAATTATTTTTGAAAATTGTTTATATTGCCATGAAATTTTGGGAGTGTTTTTATGCTGACAAAATACTTGTGCAATTTACTTGATGCATGCTTCTTGTCTTAGTTACAGTCTAGATTCTGAATCAGGCTTTCACAGTCTCATCATTCTTAATTTAGCCTAAATGATTTGGAAGAACAATAAAGCAGTATTTATGTGTTTAAATCTACTCAAGATTTCTTGTTGTTTTTCAGTGTTATGTAAGTGCTATAGAATGATTCACAGAAAGCCATGGACAAAGAAGAGAAGAAATACTGACATTTTAAAAGATGTGAACATTAAGATGTTGAATTAGGGATCGACATCGTAGCACTCAGAACACTCCCATAAGCACTCCGTCCCCATCTTCAGCAGCAAGCAAAGATTTCCAATGCTGATGGTACCAGAGTCTGATCCATCTCACCTTTCCCTTGAGCGTTAAGAACATCAAGAAGAATTTCTAATAAACAGCATCTTGTCTCGGAATCTGAAATATTTTGGTCATATCAAGAGCCATGGCAGATTGGAAAAAAATAATAGCAGAAAGCATGTTATCAGGAAAGATTGGCAGGGCCGACCAACATGAAAATGGGCGCAGGATATAAGTGACTCCTTGAATATTGAAGTACATGAGGCGGGAGAGCTTGACCGAGTTTCTTTCAGGCAGACTGTGATGAGATTGACGTTCTGCAAAGGATCTGTTACATGATGATATATAAGTGTGGCTGGTTGTAACAGAACTGACTGTATGCCTTATGCAGTAATGCGTGTACAATTGCTGGTTTGTTGTGACTGCTGTTTTTTAACTGACAAACTGCAGTTCTGCTGACAGATTATTGATACTGGTACTTCTGGCTGCCATCTTATGCATTTAATGCATGTGTGAGCTGTCAGTATTTGCCAGAACTGCTTATGTCCAACTTTTCACAAAGGACAGTGAGTATATTTTGTGCAGTTTTCACTGACACAGAAGTGGAACAGCCATAGGGATCACCAATTTACTGTAAACAATGGCTATTCAACTGAGGCCCACAGGCAGGTCAAATCTGGCCAGCGAAGACTTAGCAAGTGGCACACGGATCATTACCAATTATATTAATGATCCTTCTATGCTGGGGCTGGGGTCTCTAGCCCAGGGGTTCTCAAACTTTTTTTGCGGCACCCTTGTCAGACTAAAAAAATTAATTCCTGGCACACTGACCCTTAAAGCGGGTTGAATACTTAGGAAAAGACGAAACAGTGCTTTCCCAATACCTCCTCCCACCGCTGCAGATAACATCACAGGACAATTCCAATAAGAACGGGTTTCTCGGCTTCCTAACGCTTTTGACTACATCTGATCATCTTGAACTGGGCCTAACCCCAACCCACCTACATCCTATGAGAGAGTGCAGCCTAGGTCCAATGACTGCATGCAGCCTATTTACCACCTCTTAAAATATTCAGCTGTCTGTTTGGGGGGATATATTGGGAAAGAACCGAAGAAACAACAGTGCACATTTAATGTTCAGTTGTCTTTAACGAAGTGAATGAAACTGTTTGGATAAATTTTTCAGTATTTCCTTTATGTTTATGGGAAGTTGCGTTAATATTACACTCAAATTACTTGACCCATAAAGTTTGCTCCTGTATACGTTGAGAATGCACTGCAATCTTGCCAATAGCATTGGTTTCTTAATACATCCTAATCCAGAACTCTTCCTGGCTTCCT